GCTCCAGCATGGCGGGTAAGGGGGGATGGGTGTTTTTGGGGGGGGGGGGCCTGGATGAATGGGGCGGGGAGTGGGGGAATGTTTGGGGTGATGAAACGACGGTGGGAAGCGGCCAAGCCTGGAATGAGAAAAGCCGGATGCTCTGAGTCAGGTCGGCGCTGCCCGCCTGGCGCAAGCGTCTGGGGCGTCGTCTGGCGAGGGCCGTCTGGGCACCTTGGCTCTGGTGGGGCGCGTCCATGACCTCCCCCTCACTCTCGCCCCCCCCCATGCACATGCACAGTGTCTCCGTTTGAGTGCATTGAAGTGCAGGACGGCATGTACAGCCCCCCGGTGCATCCCAGCCGGAGGCAGAGCGGGCAGGGGTGGCCGGGCGAGGCTTACACCTGCGAGGCCCGCCCCGCCTTCTTCCCCGCGGTGCCCACCCCACCCCCCTCCTCCCTGGCCTGGGACCTGTACGCCTCGCCGGAGTTCCTCATGCAACTCGCGCCGGGGAGCGCGGCGGGCAGCGCCCCCACCCACCCCAGGGACAAGGGTGCGTGATGTGATGTCTGCTGGTGTGTGTGCATGTCGGCGGGGTGGGACGGGGAGCTCACCGCCCTTGATGGAGTCATCGACGGCGCTGCGGGGTTGCATGCCCTGGCATGGGCATGCATGCCCTGGCATGGAGGGCAGGCGCTGGAATGGCATGCAATCTGTGCGGCGTCAGCGTCGGTGTGTTTTTCTCCTGTTCACTCCCGCAGACCCGCACGCCGGCCTTCCCAGGGCACAGTCTGCGCCGCCTCCGCTCACCCCGGCCCTCCCCCACTCTCGCCTGCTTCGCAGAGGTGGGCCAGCGCACCTTCTCGCTGCGCCGCTTTCCCACCCTGGACACCATCGGCGCGCTGCACCTGCCGGAGAAGCCCACGGACGCGTCGGAGTCGCTGGCGAGCACGCGCGAGGCGGGGCAGAACCCGCGCCCGCAGCTGGCCTCGCGCCGGCCCCTCCTGCACAGCCTCTCCTGCGAGGTCAGCCCCGCGGCGCACCAGCACACCAAGCAGTTTGCCAGCCTGCCGGGTACCCCGGCCTGAGCGGCGGTGCCGGCGGACCCGCGCTGTTTCCTCGTGGGGCTGTTCCCTCGGCGCGTCGGCGGCCCGCAGCGTGTCGGCGGCCCGCAGCGCGTCGGCGGCCCAGGCGCGCGCCCTGGGCCGGACCCTACCGGCACACCCTAGCTCGCTCCTGCCAAGAGACCCACCCAAAGGCCTTCTCGACGCACTGTACCATACATCTGGGGTGAGCCACGCCGCCCACCCCATCTTTTTCGGATGCCCGCCAGCCGAACAGGCTGCTTCCCTGGGCGCCCAGCATGACTTCTCCCATCCCCAGGCCCGGCAGGGGTCTGAATCCCCGCTGCCCGGCCAAACGCGCCCCCGCGCCCCCTTGCCCCCCCAGATACCCTGCATGCCCCTGCCTGCCTCGCCACACCCCACCCCTGCTTGAACCTCGCGTTGTATTACATGGTCACGTGCGCCGTCATCGGTAGGGCCAGGTCTCGTCCTCGGGGCCGGCGTGGCCGTGCGCCAGGATGCGGCTGGGCTGGGAGCCGCCGCTCAGCCAGGCCCAGCGCTGCGGCGGCCAAACCACCGCCAGGGCACGGCCGTCCACCAGGGCCAGCGGGACCGGGCCCCACTGATGAGAATCGGGGGGCCGGGGCCGGTCGCCACTGGCTCCCTCGCTCTCCAGCCAGCAGCGGCCCTTTTCCAGGGGGAAATGGAGGGGCGGGTGAATCAGGCTGGGCGCTGGGAACGTGGGCCACAAGATTCTCAGAAACCCTGGGAGCGCTGCAGCCATGATAAGAAAAATGCACGGAGCGAGTCGCTCTGCTGAGAGAGCACAAGTGCCTGCACCACGGGTGGGAAGACAGCATGCGTGGAGTGATTCAAACTCACCGCTGGCATCTTCAGGACAGAGCTGGAGGAGGGGACAGGGCGGAACCAGTCCCCCTCCACCGCCACCACCCTCCGCAGCAGCGTAGAGTCGGGATCGGTGGGGGACCTGCGTGATTGAAGGGGGGCAGGGCTTGGGGTGGCTGCAAGGGACACTCCAGTGTGACACCCCGCCTTGGCACAGCCCACCACCTCCGAGGAAGAGCTCACGTGAAGACCGCCACGCTCCCCCGACTGTAGCGGTACAGGCGGGGGCTCAGCTTGTCGACCAGCAGGAGCCGCTTGGGCCCAGCCCCTGACAAGCCGACCGCGTCATCGGTGGCCGGTGCGAGGGAGACGAGGGAGTCGTTCACCGCTACACCGATCGGCACCCACCACAGGACGGGAGGCACCCTGGCCAACCATCCCGCCATGTGATAATTACGATGCCAAGGTACGTGGCAGCATCATGCATTTTATCTTGATGGGTCGGCGAAGATGTGGCAGGGCTCCAGGTGCATGCACGGCCGGGTTCCCATCGTGTGACACGAATCGAGGTACCCTGCCAGGGGTTGCACGAAGGAGGCCTGTGCATCCGGACGAGGATGCCTGCATCATGGTGCAAGTACATACAACATGTGGAAGGCAATGTAACCACTAGCCAGCATTGAAATGGACCTACGCTCGCGTCATGCATCCGCTTGCGCCAGGTCCACCAGCGAGGCTGGTGTGTTATAGGCGTCAAACTCCACCCCATGCGCCTCCATGCGCATACGCTTCAGACCACGGTACCCGGCGATCGCATCATACTGGATCCTGTCTGCCTCCTCCTTGTTCATGCCAGTAGGCTTGGTCTTGGGCTGCAGCTTGCTGGCGAGCTTGGTGTTGGCATGCCTCACTGTCGCCTCACCGCCCTCCACCCAGTGCTTCCTCTTCAGCTGCGCCTTCATGGGTGCCGCGGCCTGCTCCCCAAACACGGGCGCACTCAGAACCTGGCGCGTCTGGACCAGCTGCTCCGCCTCGCTGCCAGCCGGGGGGAGGTGCTTGCCTCTTCGCCGCTGATCCTTGGCCTTCAGGAATGCCTTCTTGCGGGCCTTCAGCGTCTTTACCCCTTGTGATGCTGCGGCTTGGGTGGGGGCGGGTTCCCTCCGTACCTTGCCTGCACTGGCACTGGGCGCAGGGGCGCGGCTATCGTCCGGTGTGCGGTCGTCTGCAGGCTGGGACGCTGGAGTTGCCCCCCCTGGGTCGCTGCTGGACGGTGTTGCCCCAGGCACGGAGGCCGACTTGCTGGACGCAAGCACACACGTCTTGGCGTCATCATTCCTGGTTGACACAGACAGGCCACTCTTCTCCTGGGGTGCCCTGGACGCCTTTCCTGCCTCTTTCAGGGCGAGAAATCTTCGCATGGAGGCCGACAGTGGCTCCTCCTTAGGGAGCTTCTTCTTCTTGGCAGACGAGGGAACGGGCACCGCGAAGACTTTGCCCTGCCAAATGCAAGATTGGGTGTGGATTGAGGAAGCTGCAGCAACACTTACTCTCGTGGCCAAAGCTCCCTCACCGCACTCCGCACCTTTTTCTCGGCACGGTGCTTGAGCACCAGCGCCGACCGCCGCCTTGTGGCATCTCCTCTCGCCATGATATCGATTCGGGTTATCAAATATGCTTGGGTTGTTGGTACTGAAAGCCCCACTAAACCTGAAGGTACTTGCATGAAGCATGTCGGCCGGGTCCCCAGTCGCGCCCTGGGGTCCCCACGGGGATGACCGAGGGCGCTGAAACCCTCGGGACGGCAACCCAACAGACACACCCCCATGATAGCCTCTCAGGGATGTGCACCGCAATCAAAAAGCTCGTGTTATCACCTCATCGCCATCCTGTCTTGCGTTTGCCTCAGGATGTCGGTCCTGGCCTTGGCACCTCCACCGACCTTCACGCGGCCTGCACGCCGAACCCCGCTGCAGGCGTTCGTCAGGCGCAGCGCAAAGGAGCTCCGCCATAGTAACTTGCATGCTTCGGCAAGCTCTCAGGTGCAAGGCCAGCAGCTTGGGACGGGGGGGGGCGGTCGGTAGGTCCGCGGCTCAGTACTGCAACCCAGCTTCCGACATGCAGCCTCGACTCCCCCAGGCCCATGCGTCCTCTGTCACGCAGGCAACGAACTCTTCCGAAACCCCGGCCATTGATGTCTCGGCGCATGAAGTTCCTTGCAGCAAGAGCCTGTCGGTGACCGCCCCCCGAGCGCCCTCCTCGGCCAGGGCCCAGACCTCCCTGGGGCCCATCGTGTTGGTGGCCAAGCCCCTGGCAAGAGTGCTCCTCCTGCACACCGGGGGCACCCTGGGGATGGACAGTCACGCCTCCTACGAGGAGGATGTGGATGGGCACCACGTGCTGGTGTCTGGGACGGGGGGCAAGTACCACGCCCAGAAAAGCCAGAGCTTGAAGCCAGGCAACATGCTGAACAACCTGCTCGGGATCGTGCCTGAGCTGCGCCAGCTCGCCAACCTGGACCTCAAGGTCTGTTTCTTGTGTGTGGTTTAGGGTTGCGAGCATGGATGGTTTGGGGGCAGTGGGAAGTGTAGGTAAGCGGAAGCAATGCCGTGCAACAGCTGGCCCATGGCATGCTCTGTTTATAAATTGGAGAAGTGCACCATGCAGTAATCTGCGGGCACAGAGAGTGTGGTGCTCAAATGCCCGTGCATGCGCCGGAACTCTTTGCTGATTCCACTGCTTCCCCACTCAAAGGTGGTCTTCAACCGCGATTCCTGCAACATCGGACCCAAAGAATGGTAGGCGCGGATTGAAAGCGGGGATGCGTGTGTGGTGTCTGAGTTGCAATGTGTCTCTGGGATTATACAATGTCGAGCGGTAGACTGCTGCTAGCATGCTTGTGCGCTTGTGCAGAGGCAGGCTCCTGCCTGCTCTGTTGGGTCTGTCAGGGTCATAGTAGCCTGTGCACGTCCTCCTCACAACTCACAACTCCAATGCAATCCATAATCCTCGGCCCTCAACCTCACCCACCCACCCACCCTGGACCGGCAGGGTGACGCTGGCCAAGGCGCTGGACGCCAGCCGCCGAAACTACGACGCCTTCCTGGTGGTGCATGGCACCGACACCATGGCCTACACTGCCTCGGCCATGTCCCTCATGCTGGCCGGCTTCCGGAAACCCATCGTGTTCACCGGCAGCCAGCTGCCGCTGGCCATGCCGCGTTCGGACGCGCGCCAGAACCTGATTGACTCCCTGACCTGCGCCACCTCCAGCTTCAACCCGCCGCATGTCCACCTCCAGGTGAGGCCGTGAGGAGGGAGGCCTCGGGCGAGGGTGCATGCATTGTTTTGGTACCATTCAGGCAATTTGCAGGCCGTCCCTGCATCAGAGTATGCAAGACGGGGGGGGGGGTTGACTGGTGTGGCTTGGGTTCGGGACCCCTTGCCCGGCACCCTTCCTGCCCCCTCTCATTCTGGACTCCCCCTCCGAAACATACCCCAATCCATGCAAATCAAGACTCTGGTCCGGTGACCCTCAAGATTCAACCCCCCTTCCCCTTCATCCCCACACCCCAGGAGGTGGCCCTGTGCTTCGGGGGCAAGCTGCTGCGCGGCAACCGCGCGCGCAAGGTGCACAGCAACGTGTACGAGGCGTTCGCCTCACCGTCGTACCCCAACCTGGCGCGCATGGGCGTGGATGTCGAGTGGAACACGGGCGCCATGCTGCAGCCCGAGGGCGTGTACCGCCCCCGCCTGCGCCTCGACCCCGCCGTCCTGCGCGTGCCGATCGTCCCCGGCGTCGACCCCCGCGTGGCGTATGGTGACCTGGTCGGGCGCGGGGTGCGGGGCGTGGTGCTGGAGTCCTTTGGCGTGGGCAACATGCCCTCCTCCGCCTGGCTGCCCTGGCTGCGCGCGCAGCGCAAGGCGGGGCTCCTGGTGTCCATGGTGTCGCAGTGCGCGGGCGGGGCGCTGCAGCCGGAGCTGTACGCCTCTGGCTCCGCCGCGCTGGCCCTGGGCGTGGAGGCGGGGCCGCAGATGACGGCGGAGACCGCGGCGGTGAAGATGATGCTGTGCCTGCAGTACCCGGACCTGCCGCTGGGCGTGCCGCTGGCAGGGGAGATGTGAGCGAGGGGGTCCATGCGATCACGGGCCTGGGAAGGGCAGGGTCGGGAGTGATCATGCCGTTGCTGACACTGGCCGGAGGGCGGGCGAGCCTGGGTGCCAGTCCGCCCTGAGCCGAGGATCTCCCTCGATGGCCTTCTACACCCGGAATGCAAACAAATGTCCCTCAGAGTGTGCGAGCCAAACCAACCTGTTGAGCGCGAGTGTGTGTGCTGTAAGATTACCCGAGAGCATGCATTGTTTCACAAACTCATCACCCGCATCAGGGGTGGGCAGTACACCGACTTTGTTCGTCTGTGTTCAGCTGAACACCACGAGCCGGGTCTCTTCTTCTGTTCAGTCCAAAGTAAGGCCGCCTCCTGACGTGTTGGGATGTTTTACCCATGTGGAGAGACTACACCCCCCACTGGTGTACGCGCCTGCAGCATTGAGAATTGCGACCTTCCTGATGCTGGCAAGCAGAGGGTCCTGGCAAGCCACAAGCACGGTGTCAAGGTCAGCGCCTCTTCTGCTTGGAGGCGGACTGGTGGAGGGCGCGGGAGATAGCGTGCCAGGAGTGGCGGATGCAGTACCCCGGAACCACGATCCAGATGGCATTGATGACCACAAAGTAGATCCAGAAGTAGCGCATCTCGGGGCGGGAGTGCTTGAAGTCTGCGGGGAGGGTTTGAGGAGGAAGGCGTGGCTGACTACCCCAGTGCCCGTCATCAAGGGGCTGATGCCAAAACAGAGACTGCCCACCCCTTCACAAGTTGAGCACCACTCCCCTTGCTGCAGTAAGGGCAGGCAGCAAGGGCAGGCAGCAACGGAGCTCACCCTCCAGGTAACAGGTGGCGTAGTAGAGCACATCGCCATAGATCTGGGCGACGCTGACGATGATCAGGAGGGTGTACCGCCAGGGTGCCCGGTGGAGCAGGCCCCAGACCACAAACAGGCAGCCGGGGCCATCGAAGAAGGCAGTGATGGCCTCCATGGAGATGACAAAGGCGTCGCGGGTGGCGTAGCGCGAGTCGGCGTGGGCGTACTCCTTCCAGACATCAGACAGGAACGTCCCAGGGGGGTCCTTGTAGAAGGTAGGTACCAGCACGACATATCCTAGGATCGGAGGTGAGAGGTGGTAAGATCCTCGCAGTAGGCCACACGGTCTGCAGGGACACAGCATGGGCCCAAGTGTGCAAGCCCATACCCTGGCATGAAAGGAGGGGAGCACTGCCCTGGTGCTTGGGCTGGGCTTTGAGCCATTCCTTACCCTCAATGATGATGTGTATGAGCCCAGAGACGGCCAGCCATCCAGCTATGAATCGCTCCTTCCTGCTGAGTCCTACGCGACCTGTATCACAAAGGGGTGCGAAACCCTGGGTTTGGGGACCCCTTGTGATGAGGAGGGTCAATCATGGCCGCCAGCACCAGTTGCTGTTGTTGAGGCAAATGGCAGCTCGTCCTGATCAACGTGACTCTGAGTGCCCCCCCACCCAATGCCAACCTGAGATCAGCCAGATTGCAGCATACACAGCTACGGCGGCAGTTCCCACTGTGGCGAGAATGTAGGCAAAGTCGACCTCCAGGGGAACATAGCCCGGCAGGTGGGCGGAGATGGGGAAGTACGGGTGGCTCATCCTGCCGTTTCACCCGACTTCTTCAATTTTTGTGAATGAATTGTAGGAGATTGATCATGTCCCCCGCGCACACTGCATAATATTGCCACCATGTGCATCGGAAGGAGGACGCGCGATCGAGACCAAGCGCGTTTTAAAATCTAGCATCAGATGCACCCACGAGGGGCCCTGCTACACAACCAACAAAGCTTAAATGGAAGGTTATCTTCGTTTATCTGAATTCAACCTCATCATTCCTTGATTACTTATTGGCCATGGCTCGAGTGCCTCCTGTATATCTCTACTCAGGGTACTAAGAGCTGGACACAAGTTCCAGGTTGGCCCTCAATAATACATACAAACAACTTACTTGAAATCCCAACAGTGCGTATTGGCAGAAAGGCATGCTGAAAGGCTCTTACATGTTCCTGAAAGCCCACCCACTTCGTGTTGCTGCCAGATCAGCTCAGTTCCCGGTCCGACTGCCCATCCGGCACCTCGAGGATCTCCTCTGAAAATAAAGTACTCACACCCCTGCAGCCAAGTGGCTTCTGTATCTTTTCCTGGATGACCATTGCAAGCGTTAGTTCTCGATAGTACAAGCACCTGGTCATCTCCTCAAGGGACAAGGGAGCGAGCCAGTGCCGGACTCACTCCTCCCTGCGGTCCCTGTTCCCAGCCTGCCATGGAGCAGGGATCCGGCCGCAAGGAGCGCATCAAGGCCCTCTTCAAAAAAGGGCAACGATGTTTGGTCCGCTATAGCGATCAGTACTGGGCAGCCTTGGTGCGTGGGAAGAGGCAACACCAGGGAGGGGGCTTCGGGCAGAGCTCGAGGCCCGCGCTGGGCTGCCTCCTCCCTTCCGAGTGATCAGCGGAGCCTCCGAAGCTTTGAACCACCTGTATCATGCCACAGATTATGCGAGCTCGGAAGACCGATGCCGGATACTACTACCTCATACACTATGACGGTAAGTGTGGGTGCAGGTGATCCCATGGACCCATCACGTGCATCTATTTTCTCGTGTGCAGGGTGCTCCTAGGCGCAGTGCATATTGGAATAGCCTCCGAACTTCATTCAACCATCCCAGGGTGGAGCAAAAAGCATGATGAGGAGGTGCGGCAGTCGGAGGTGATCAAGTACAACCCTGACCTCATCGGCCCCATCCCGGGTGCCGAGGGGGATGACGAGGATGGTCCAGGAGTGCTTCCCTCCGTTAAAAAGAGGAAGCTGGATGCCAGCGCTGGCTCCTTGGAGGTCGCAGTAGAGGTGGGATGGAGCAGGGACTGGGTCGATGTGCTGTTGGGCTCCTGCTCACCCCCAGCTGCATGTGTGTGCTTGCATCAGCGCCCCAAGGCGGCACCATGCCCATGCCCCCTCTTCCCTCCAAAATCACCCCAAGCACCCCTTTCCCCGCCCTCTGGCAGTTGCGGCTGCACATCCCAGCGACCCTGAAGACCATCATCATTCAGGACTATGAGCTGGTGACCCAGGCCGGCCAGCTGCTGCCCCTGCCACGCAGCGAGCACCACCGCCCCACCGTGCACCAGATTCTGGAGGAGTACCGGGCGCAGGCGGCCGCTGAGCTGGAGGCCGAGGAGGAGGACAGGGATGCGCTGGGGCGGAGCCGGGAGGAGCGTGTGGCTGCCCTGGTGGAGGTGACAGACGGTGGGGGGTGACGAAGGGGGGGGCGCAAACCTGTTCCGATGCCGTGTGAGGCCACACGCCATGGCTCATCCCTCATTCCACTGGCCAGGCGACGGAGGGGCTGGGGACCTACTTCGATCAGACGCTCGTCCACTACCTGCTCTACCAGCAAGAGGTCTCCCATCATGGAGAGGTGCGCTGGTGCCCATTCGCGGTGGCCGGCAGGTCTATGTCAGGCCTTGGAGGCATTGAGCTGCTCTTGCCAATGTCACGCTTCATGATGGGGAGCAGACGGAAGCAAAAACCTTGGCTCGGGATTGGCACCCGCTGCCCTGCGTGTTGGCAAGGCAACCCTCTCATCCCCCACCTGCAGGCATCCGCGGGCGGGCTCGCACCCAGCAGGCTGTATGGTGCAGAGCACCTCCTCCGGCTCCTGGTGAAGCTCCCAGAGCTCATGCCCGTCTGCCACATGGGCCCCCAGGTACTGTGGAGTGGTCCAGATGCGCATTGGGGCACCCTTCAACCGCGAAGCTCACGGGTGCATGCTCAGGAGCCACCCAGATCTGGCGCCTGGCTGCCCAGCCCCTGAACAAAGGGTTCCGCGGATCTTCCCCTGGCCTCAGTACCACCCACCGCCTCCAAACGCATAGGACGCTGTGAACTTGGAGGCGAGGCTGCATCACTTCATGCAGTATGCTTCGGGCAGTGCCCAGGCTCGCCTCTTCTCCAACAGGGAGCAGTACATCCCAAACCCCGACGCCGCGCCGGAGCTGCTGCTCCCACCCCTGCCGGCGACTGCCAACCCCACCCGGGCCGCCACGCCAGTGCCTGCCTGACATATCTTCCCTGCTTGTGCCTGCTCAGCATTCAACACAGGGGTTTTGTACGGTCAAGCAGCGGAAGGAGTGGGGTTTTCTTTCTGTGCCGGCGTCCTGTCTGACACACGCACCGATCAGAGGGGGGAGCAGGCAGAGAAAGAGTGCAGGGGGAAAAGTGACAGACATGCCCCCACCCGGCGGCGCACAAGATTCCATGCCCAGAGATCGGAAAGCTGCAGCCCCCGTTGGATCCGAGGTGCATTATTTCAGCCGAGTCGCTTGGGAAACTGCTGAGACACGCTACCCTTCATCATGGCTTGATGATGAACAACACCGAGCCGGGGGTGACGGGCTTGCCGTGCTCCGCGACAATCTTGACCACAGTGCCAGAGACCTGTGGGCAAAAGGGTATGCAGGAGGGATTGCTGAGGCCGGAATGGGGGCCCTAGATGGGTAGTTAAGCATTGCCCCGATGAGATATACGCCCACTGCTGCCAAACAGTGAAAGCTGACGTACACTTGAGCATAGCTCAGGAGCAATTGCACACGCTCAATCTACTTCATTGAGGCATAAAGGAGCCAGACACATCAAATCCAGCCACCCAAATGAGTTCCCACACACAAACAATCTGCAATCCACCCAATCCCTCCACACCTCACCTCTGCCTCAATCTCATTCATGAGCTTCATGGCCTCAATGATGCACACGGTCTGTCCCTTCTTCACTGTGTCCCCGACCTTGCAGAAGTGGGGCTCCCCGGGGGCCGGCGACTGGTAGAAGGTTCCTGTCATGGGCGAGACAACCTCGATGCCATCCACGGCCGCGGGGGGGGCAGGGGCGGCAGGGGCGGCCGGTGCGGCGGGGGCGGCAGCAGGCGCCGGCGCTGCAGCCGCGGGGGGAGGGGGAGGTGCGTAGGACTGCTGCTGCTGGGTCGGAGCCTGCATGTGGCCGGGGCCAGGTAGGTACTGGATGGTCGGCTCCGCGACCTCCAGCGCCTCGCGCTTCTTCACCGTCAACTTGAACTTCTTGCTGTTCAGCTCCAGCTCTACGATATCGGTGGAGTGCACCATCCTACGGTGGCCGGGTTGGAGGTGCAGAACGGCATTCTGGCAATGGTCACTTGACTACGGTAGGGAGGGGGGGGTCCCGAGGGTGGGACACGCGATGTCACCACCCCGTCCGGATGTTCCGCCGGCCCCAACCCAGCTCACTTAATGAGGTCGGTCAGTTCATCAAAGTCCAGCCCGGTCTTGGAACCCTTCGCCGCGCCATTGGTGGCACGGGGTTTGGCCTCCTCCAGCGTCGCCCGAGTCAGCACGCCAGATCTCGACTGTACCTACGATCTCGGGGGCACAGGGTGTCTCAAAGCCGAAATAGGTGTGACGTAGGCATTCTGGCAGCAGAGATATCCCGCATGGCTCACCGAGTGGCCGACTGGCGCCCTTGCCGGGGCCACCCCGCCGGCGAGCCGGAGCGCTGGGCGCGCCACAAAGGCCCGGTCGGTGATTGCAAGATTCTGCATGGCCACCGACAGTGTAGTGATGGGTCGGGAAAGGGTGGGAGGGTGTACGGTGGACCGTGGGTGCCATCATGACATATACGGGACAGCTTGCTGAGGGCCAGCTCTGCAGCAGCATCCAGCCCGGATCGATCGTAGCGGGAAATTGTATCGGATTGGCGAGTGCACATCCCAGTCCCCTTTGGGGACTTTTAGCCATTCCAGTCTGCTTTGAAACCTCGAAACATATGTAATGGATCCATAGGAACGGATCCTTCGAGTCACGTTCCGTTTGTGAGAGGGCTAGGCGGGCCCAGACTGTCATGGCGTCACCATCGACAGTCTAGCCAGGCACCTCTACACAGCATGATGAAGGGCTCCAGCTCCGGTGCACAGCCTGCATCCGCAAGGCAAAATTCCTGTTCATTTCACCCGTCGTGCCGTGTCAGGTGAGATCGTCATGCGTCGCACCGCAGCTGGCAGGGACCCTTCGCACCGCCGATGCAAGGCCTGATCAGGGGCCGCAATGGCGCTCGACCCCAGACACATCTTTCACACCCACCAGGAAGCGAGCTTGGAGTGGCCAGCCGTTCACAGCCTTCGCCCCTCACCCAGCATGGAGGGGTGCAGGGGCATGGCAGTATGCAGGAGCTCAGCCGCCCTCCCTCGTCCGCATGGCTTCATCTGGGCCAGCAACGGTGGGAGACGATGAGGAGTGCGCCCCACCGGACCCATCATTGGACAGTGCATGCATTCAACTGCCAAAAGTGGCGCTGGATGATGCAGATGAGAACCAGGGTGCGACGGGGAGGCAGGAGGAGGCAAGACTGGGCGCTCAGTGGGAGGGGCTCTGGTTGTCGCATGAGGTCACATGCCTCCCTGGCCGGGAGCTGTACTGAAACTCCCGGGTGTGCCTCTACTTTCCAAGGCTTCTTGATGTGCAGAGCAGGAAGCACTGCAATCCACACGCCTTGGACTGCCTACCCTTGACTACATGGCCGATGAGCTCACCATTATACCCATCATGCGCCATCCCTTCCTCTTAACAATACCATCCTGCAGCGATGGTCCCCGGGCACTTTATGCGCAAGCTGCAGCAGGGATTGTTCCTGGACGAGAATCGCGAGGTGACGCCGCTGGGCAAAGTGCAGCTCCTCATTGGGCGCTCCTACCTGAACTACAGCATCAACTGGCTGCTGGTCAAGTCACGCAGGTGCATTGGTGGGAGAGAGATTGGGCCAGCTTGCAAGGGTGCTCAATGCGTGAATAGACGCAAGGGAAGAACGGTACCCTTCACACACTTGGAACCCAGCAGGGCACTGATGCTCAAGCAGTGGGCCTCTTGACTGGGCCAAACGCTGTGCACAGTGCTCACCTGCATGCTCCCGGCGGTCATGCCTGGCATGCCCCGGCCGGCAGCTGATTATTCCATCTGCAGCAACAGCTGATGCCTAAGAACGATCCCTCCCCTCGCCTAAGCAGGTGGCAAACTGTGCTGGGCATCCTGCGCGATACACTCCAGCTCTGCGATGCAGTGAACCTGTCGACCGCCATGCACAAACTCGGCAAGCTGTTCCGCCACAACCACGAAGCCGTGAGTTGGGGTGGGAGAGTGAGTATTTGACGGGAAGAGGTGTGAGACACCTCAATTGTTGGGGTGTTGAAGTATACCGGCCCCTCCCCCTCTGCATCCCCTTCCTGGGCTAATCATCGATCCCTCCCCCAGCAACTGTCTCACGACTTCCACCTGCCACAGTCCATGGCCCAGTCATACCACGGCAAACGCGCAACGCCGCACTCCTGCTTCCAGCACCCCACCTACCGTGAGCTGGTGCTGCAGTTGCATCACTTTGCCGGCCAGTCTGATGGGCGTAGCATTGCCAACACCATCTGGGGCCTGGCAGGTAAGGGGAGGAAGCCGGTGGTGCAAATCGTGGGGTGGGAGTGCCACGATGCAATAAGCGAGGTCCTGGGCCGACACAGAGGGTAAAGATGTCACCATGTCACAGACTAGATGTTGTATGTCATGGCCTGCTGAGAATTCTGGGGCTGGATCGGCTGCGGCATCCATGCGGGCTGAAACAAACGCAATCCACTGCTCACCGCGCAGCCCTGAACGACACGAGTGCTGCGGCAGAGGCGCTGGTGCGGAAGCTGAACAACCGGCTGCTGCACCTCCCGCTCGACCAGTTTTCCTCCCAAGAGATCTCCAACATTGTGCGTTGTGGTCGGTGGGCTTCGCCCTGGGCTTGGTAGGAGGCATGTTACTGTCGCGAGCCAAGCGTCGCCGCGCCACAAAGGGAGCGGGTGATGACTTGTCCGGTCGGGAGGCGTGCTCGGACCTCATCCCCCAATCAGCCATGGGGGCCCGTTTTCTTAGTTTCCCATCTCCCATGGCCCCTGCCAATCAACCCCCCCCCCCCCCCTCCCTTCTAACCCAACTCACAGCTGTGGGGCACGGTGAAGCTGAAGATGAACGACCCCCGGGTGTTTGCCCACATGCTGAAGCAGGTGACGCTCACCATCGATGACTTCAGCACCCAGGGCCTGAGCAACATCGTGTGGGCCTGTGCGGTGCTGCGCCACCGTGACCCCGAATTCCTGGCGGCCATCGAGCGGCGGACCATGGCCCTGCTGACCGAGATGAGGACGCAGTCCATCGCCAACATCGCCTGGTCGTGCTCCGTGCTGGAGTACACGCCCGTCAGGCTCTGCGCCGCGCTTTCCAAGGAGGTCGTCAGCAGGCGCGTGGTTTGGGGATTGGGGGTCTCATTCTCGAGGGGAGGGTATGGTGGGCAGGCGTGACCCCAGACACTCCATGCCGATGGTGTCCCCCCCACCCTCGCTACCTCTCAAACCTGCACCCTCCTGGTATCCCAGGGCACCCACCCGCTTTCCCCATACCACCCAATGTGCAGGCTGGCACGCCCCTCGCAGGCCGAGGAGTTCTCGGCACAGGACCTCACCAACCTGCTGCTCTGCTTCTCGCGCGCAGGGCTGGCCAGCCCGCCCATGCTGAGCGCCATTGAGCGCGAGATCGTGGCCCAGCGCCCCGGATTCTCCGGCCTGCCCATCAACCGGCTGGAGGGCTTCACCAGCCAGGGCTTGTGCAATGCGCTGTGGTCCTTTGGCGTGCAGCGCTGGTACCCCAGCCTGTCCATGGACGCCATGCTGCAGTACATCACCCTTTCCATCGCCGACATCTCGGACATGGAGCTGGTGCTCACCTTGTGGGCCTGTGCCAGGCAAGGAAGGGTCGTGGGGAAGGGGTCGGGAGGGGAGGTTCTACTCGTCGTGAGGGGGAGGGTTTTTCTCGCGCTGGAGGATCGGCGCGCCTGGGCAAACAATGCATGAACTGGAAGCAGGGACCTTTGTGGTTTAGGAGTGCTCAGTGCTCTATACCTTGCGGCCCAGTCTCGGCGGCGGCCTTGGAAAATCAGAGCCCCCTGCCCCTCATGCAGGCTGGCGCATCAGCCGGGGGACCTCATGCCCCGCTTTCTCGACGAGCTGGTCAAGCGTGCGGCCAGCCTGGACCTCCAGGCCTGCTGCAACGGGCTCTGGAGCATCGGCGTGCTGCAGGTGGGAGCGGGGAGGGAAATCCCGGTGCTGACATTGCTATGTTGGTCCATGTAAGACGGCAGGGCAGGGTGTGATGGGGACGCGTCCATGTGTCGGTAAAGCTGTTTTTCTGGCGCCCTGCCAAGCCTATGGAGCGTCGCAGGATCTAGGCTGCCGCTCACATGCTGTACATCAAGCATCCTCCCGGACCCCTCCCCCACAGTCCACCGAGTCCGAGGCCTTCCTGCGTCTTCTGGCGCGTTTCATCGAGCTGGAGGAGCGGGAGAGGCTGAGCGTGCTGCAGTGCAACCAGGTGCGCAGCGGGCCGCCAGGGTCGGTGGTGGTCGGTGCCCGTCGTGGCTGGGCTGCTTTCGCTGTGAGCCGTGTTCATCTCCGTCGTGGCTGGCCCGCCCACGATGCTGGGCATCGGCCAGTCAGCGCCCTGTCGCCCCCCCCACCCCCACCCCCCACCCCTTCTCCTCCCCCCTTGCAGGTGCTGCAGAGCGTGACCCTGGCGCTGTGCGAGCAGCGCGCGCAGCGTTCCGACTCGCCCTGGCGCCTGGGCAAGCACTTCACCCCCGCCGTGCTCAAGGCCTGCCTGCAGCGCTGGTCGGCCAAGGTGCAGAGCGAGCGCAGCTCCACCACCCTCTCCCGCTTCCACCTCGTGGTCAGCACCCTGCTCCAGCAGCTGGGCATCGAGCACCAGCTGGAGCACTGCGTGATCAAGCCCGGGGTGCACGTAGACATCGCCATCCTGCGCCCCTCCGGCGAGCGCCTGGCCGTGGAGGTGGATGGACCGCACCACTACCCCTTCAACTCCTTCGCCCCGCTGGGGCACACCTGGGTGCGGCGCAGGGTGCTGCGCGCCTGCGGCTGGAAGGTGCTCTCCGTCCCCTTCTGGGCGTGGTGAGGGGAAGGGGGTGGGGGGAGGGGGAAGGGTGACGAGGGTGAAGGAGGTGCTGGGAGCACAGGGGCTCAGAGGAAGAACAGGTCCCAGCGGCCCGGCGGCATGCATGCCAGAGCGGTCCTGTCACCCTGGTACTGTGTGGAGGTGCTGTGCTGGTGCCTTGCCATGCCACACCCAGCCTCAGGGTCTCTCAACTGCACCCCCTACGTATGAAAATCCCCACACACAAGCACACACTCGTGTACACGCAGGGAGCAGCGCCACACGTGGGAGGAGCGGGCGCGGTACCTGGGGCGGGCGCTGGTGGCGGTGGACCCCAGCTTTGCCGAGGAGCTGCGGCCCTCCATCGGGGACCTGCTGCTGGACCAGGACCCAGAGGCAGAGGCGGAGGAGGGGCTCGACCCTGCTCGGGGTCTCGGCGATGCGCCGCGCCCCCCCGACCAGCAGGCCGCCGGCCGCCCGCCGCCCTTCGGCAAGCATGGCCACGGAATCCCACCGCCGCCGCGCGTCGACCCTGACGCCATCGCCACGACCCCCAGCGCGCTGTACCCCTACCAGATGCTGGTGGACACAGCCGGCATGTTCCGCGTCAACCACCAGACAGTGCCGGCCTGGGGCCGGGGTGGCGTGGAGCTGGCCGCGGGGCCCTGGTCAGAGGATGCGGCGCAGGCCTCGGACCCGCTGGCCGCACTGCTGGCCAAGCAGGACCTGTCGCTGACCCAGGGCGCCTACCGCAGCTTGCTCAACATGGGCATCGCCCAGAAGTTGGAGGGCGGCTGGGCCGCGGCGGCCGCCGCCGCCGCGGAGACCGAGCGGCGCAGGGGCAGCGCCGGGGGCGGGGGGGAGTGGGGCGACGTGGACGTCGCACGGCCGCCGGGAGGCGACGACGTGGAGGGCAGGCGGCCTGCGAGGGGCGAGAGCTCGGATGGGAAGCGGCCGGCGAGGGGTGGCGATGGTGCGGAAATCAAACGGCTGGAGAGGGGCGAGAGAACACGGCCGTTGCCGAACCTGGCAAATGGGAGGGCCAGGGTGGTGGCTCGCCCCGACAAGGCACCAGGACAGAATGTGTGGAGGACAGGCGATGGGCCGCAGGCTGTTCCGCCGCCACCCAAAGACCGCGGTGCCCCTCCCCCCCCAACTCCCGTCGCAATCCGCCCTCCTGGCCCAGCCGCCCTCCCTCGCTCAGCCCCAAGCAGCCCCAGGCCCTCTGCCCCGAGCGTGCCTGAGACCCCAGCGCCCGACAGCCGACTGCGACCTGGCCCGAGTGATCCACCAACCCCCACCCCCAGCGGGGCGCTGACTCCGGCGCCCGAGGCTGCGGCGCCCGTCGAACGTCCCTGGATAAAGTCCTCCCCTGGACCTGCACTGTTCAAGGCAACAAGAAAGGCCAAGAAGTTGCCCAACAGACCCCCCCCTCCTCCTCCAGACCCCACGAACGAGACGAGCTGCGCTGAGCCGGTGAGCACCACCCTCGCGCAGAGGGGCAGTCCTCCCTCCCGCGAGCCTGAGGCACGGCCAGCACACGAGGGCAAGGCCCTCGAGGAGGCCACCCCCTGGCACCTCCCCATCCGCATGCCCGGCGCTCGGGCCTCCGAGGTCGGCACGCCCGAGCTGCGCACGCTGTGCGTCCGCTTTGGCTTGCCCAGCAACGGCGGCCGCGAGGAGCTGACGCAGCGCTTGCTCAGCCGGGTCAACCCGGAGGAGGAGGAAAGGGAGGAGGAGGAGCGGACCAGGCGGCGCGCCGCATGGCGGAGCGACAAGACTGTCAACAGGGTGATGGGCCCGTATGGGAGGGCCACGTGACCCCTGCCAGAGTGGCGCGTCAATGCCAGGGCTGGCATGAGGCCCCATGCAGGCCTGGGCAGCCGCTCTCCAATCCCATGCACAAACTCTTTCGTTTCATTCTTTCGTTGTGTGGCCCTCAAGCTTGGCAGGACTGAGTCTGTCCCTGTAGAATCAAATTTTTTCCTTGGACTTGCTTGCCCTGGAAGCTGGGGACGTGGTAGGGGTCATGCGGGTACCATGGATTCCCAGGCCGTCCGGCGGCAGGTCACTGATGTGAGTGTGTCAGAGCGTTGGTCGTGCATCCTGGCGGGCAGGCTGCTGAGGAATACACAGCTCAGCCCTGCGCCCCAATTTGCAGACCGTCAAATCACTCGATGTGGAAGAGGTCGGTCCGCTCCTGGCCCTCTCTGAGGCCGGTGATCACCTGCGGCCCATGGGTGCGAGGGGATGTCGTTGATCGGCGCCATGTAGGCCGGCGGGGGTCGCAACCCGACAGGACATCTTCATGGATGCACAGGGTGGTGTCATGTTGACGTCCCTTGCCCCGGCAGCCAGGTTCCACTGCAAGACAGCACAAGGCAACCCCCGGCACCTCCATGCCTCAGGCCCAGCCCCGCCCACCTTGTGCTTCACCACGACGTCCATCAGGCGGTGGTTGTCGCTCCGCCGGCTCATGCTCAGGCTGCCCTCGATGGTGGTACCCTCGTCCGCCTGAATGCCAGGGTGCATGAAGAACACCTGCTGGCCCCAGTGCGTCGCGCCTGTGCATGGAGCGATTGAATTTTTTGTGGGCGGGTGGCAAGGAGGTGTCAAGGTGCGCCCACGTGAGGGTGGGAGCAACCCCTCAGCTCGCCCTACCTTGCGAGTGAGCCCACCATGAAACAGTGCAACCATTTGGCCCCACTATTGGATGCCAGCCACCCAGCAGGAGCAAGGGGAAAGGACATCGCCCCTTGAACTCCCTGATGCACCCCCTGGCCCCCAAGCGCACACCTGTGGGGTCGGGTGCGGTGGTCAGGGTGACCGGGGAGTCTGCTGGGTTCTCGGGGCTGCCCCTGAACTGGACATCAAAGTATCCCGCCAGCGCCTCCACGGGGCCGGGCTGGAGGAGGCGCAGCTTGAAGCTGGCCTGCAGGTCCGCCTTCAGCTCCTCCAAGGTCAGCATGAGCAGGTCGTACGACTTCAGGCAGGCAGGGGGGCCCAGGGCCTGGGAGGGGTGCACGTCCGCCCAGGCCGCTGTGCGCGAGAAGTAATCGGCCTGCTCCTCCTGGTAGGCCTCGGTGAGGCAGGACATGTCGACGTCGTAGTACTGCTTGACCTCCCGCACGAAGTCGGACCAGCCGTCCACGGCGGCCTGTGGCGTGGAAAGGTGGAAAAGTGGGGGGATGGCGGGGGAGCAAGGGGACAGGGGCAGCGTCTGCCAGTGCACACACGGGACCCATGGCCTTGAAGCAACGCTTCCATGCCCTGCGACCCCACCTCCAGCTCCGCCTGGCGGCGCTGCGTCTGGTTGGTGGTGATGGGCGCCAGGAACATGCGAGCGTGGGAGGGGTACAGGGCGCCGCCTGGCTTGAGGAACTTGTTCCGGGCCACAAGTACGGAGTCCAGCATGGACTCCCGCAGCAGGAAGTAGCCCTGCATTTTTTTGGATGGGTGGAGAATGGGGGGAGGGGATTCTAAGGCTGGCGGGGCAAGTGGTGTCCAGAGACTTGCCCGGCCAGGCACAAGCTCCAGAGGGGCCGGGCCCTGTGGGTCCCCTGATCATCCGCACTGAGGTCTGTCCCTGCCATCAGAAGATGAAACCCCACAACCCCCCTCACCATCCACTCAGAGATGATGATGTCCACCTGCTCCGGCAGCTCCACGCTCTCGATTACGCCCTGGATGACCTCCACCGTGCCCGCCAAGCCCTGGGCCGCCACCAGGCGACGTGCGTGCTTGGCCATGTCGGTGGCCTCCACGGCGTAGACCTTGCGCGCGCCCGCCCGCGCCGCAAAGATGGCCAGGATGCCGCTGCCGGTGCCCACGTCCAGCACCACCTTGTCCTTGAACTGGGCCATGTTCTGGATGCAGGCGTTGTAATACGCGCCCGTGCGCTTGTGGTCCTCCAGCATATCTTTCTGCTCCAGGGAAAAGCACGTGGGTGGGGCTTTGAGGAGGGGGAGGTGCAGTGGGTGGCAGAGTGGGGGCTGGCAGGCGGGGTGAGGCGCGTTTGGGGAATGGAAGCTCATCCGTGAAAGTGCAGCAGGCTGGTCGATCCAAGCCCCCCCACCTGGTGGTAGAGATAAGAGTATGTGATGAAGTAGTTGGCCATATGTGCTGCACAGGATGGTTGGAAAGCGATGCACCGGTTAGTCTGGGGGATTGGGGGAATTGATGCAAACGCAAAAATGGTCTCGGTCTTCTTGTACGTATCTGTGCTGTCTGGAGCCGCGCCATCCAGCTTTGAGCCAGCACGCCCAGCTCCACCACGAGCCGCCATGGCCAGTACCGAGACGGAGGAAGGGGTGGGGGAGGCGGGCCGAGCGGGCGAACAAGACGGAGAGGGAGTGGTAATTGAAGATGTAGAAAGAACTGACCTGCATGCGCCGGGCCTGGACCTCAAGGGGCACCGTCTTGGCCGTTGGGCCGGTGTGAATCTCGACGCCGGGCGCCGCGCGCCTTGCCACCCCGCTGGGTCGGTCGCGCTCACGACATGGACACTTGCGGCCTTTCCATGTCCAGACTGATCTTCAACGATGCTGCTGCTGTGATTGCAGGTGTTATTGCTAGAACGTTAACACAGTAGTGGTACGGTCGCGCGGTGGGAGCAGGGTACTCGCTTGACCGGAGCGCGATAGCTGGGACGCCATGTCTTCGGACTCCTGGGCAGAGGAGTACGAGCAGGCAAAGCAGGCAGCAGGGGAAGTCCTGAACCTCATCCAGGTATAGTGGTTGGAGCGATAGGGACCCTCGTGTCGCCGGGATCCCTACAACCCGCAAGGCCTCCTTTGGACCGTGGCTGAACCTTGCCCACTCTCGCTCCGGGTGCCACCCGCAGGAACGGAATCTAGAACACCCTGATGGGGGCCCAGGAGCTTCCCGTCTCACAGCTACCGCGAGGCGAAAGCTCGGGAGCCTCGGAACAAAGTTGGACGCGCTGCGGTCCGGCATCGAGGCTGCTCCCGACCTGTGAGTCCCTGGTTCACGGCGCACTTGAGGCCACTTCACCGCTCATTTCAATCTGCACAGGGCTTTGAAGGGATTGAGACTGCTGTTTGACACTGTTTCAGGCCCCTTCTTCCCGTCCCACTTGTCCACCCTCCCTCACCCTCTCTCTACACCCCGAACAGCACTGAGAACGAGCGGAACCGGCGCAGGGACCAGGTGGCGGCCCTGCGCAACAAGCGGGAGGGCATGCTGACGAGTCTGCGGCGGGACGGGGGCCACAGCGCCGCCCGCGCCGCCCTCCTGTCCTCCCCCGCCGCCCCCTCAGGCCCCGCGGCCCCGGGCCGGGGCCGCGAGAGCGAGGCCACCGCCCCCCTCACCTCGGCTGGGCTGATGGAGCTGCAGCGCGACGTGATGAGCCAGCAGGACCGGGAGCTGGAGCAGCTGGAGAGGGGGGTGGCCTCAACCAAGCACGTGGCCCTGCGCATTAACGAGGAGGCCACTCTGCACAACCGGCTGCTGGAGGGGCTGGAGGAGGATGTGGACGTCTCCCGGTCGCGCCTGGCAGCCGCACAGCGCCGGCTCAAGGGCGTCATGCACAGGGCCCGGTCCTGCAAAACGCAGCTGGTGATCCTCCTCCTCCTCATCGTGCTGGTGATTGTGGTGGTCGTGGGTTTCAAGCTCGTCCTGAGCTGGTTCTGATCCCGGGGCTGGACCCCTCCCCGCGTGCTGCTTGCGGATGCTCTGGGCTGACGCCTGAGGTCACCCCTGCTTGCTTCAATGACGTCCTGCAAGGGCGTGGCTGCCCTCCAGTAGTAGTTCCTACCCCCTCCTGCCATCACCGTGTTGCCGGCCCTTGCCTGCTCCCTGCTTCCTCCCCGGTGCTGCAAGATGCACTTGTGTACACTTCTGACGCGAAGTGGGAATGGAACGGCGTGACCACCCACATACTCCTTCAGCACTGCCCCAACCTAAGCCAGCAAAGACGATGGATGAGTCAATGCGTTTTACACACCCAGTTCAATGACCTGTTTCACACATGACTTCTTCCTCATGCCGTGCCCTGCCCCAAAGACAGCTGTGACTAGCATGCGGGAACAAGGGTCTGTGCACCCTCTGCCCGTGCACCTGGCAGCCGCCTGCGAGGCTGCGCGCCCCTCCTGGCCGCCCCCTCGCCCTCCCAGTGCGAGCTGTAGTACCCCGGCGGGGGGTGCTCCAGGGCGAGCCGGGCGTCCGTGCCCGCATTCCTCGTCACCGCATACCAGAAGGTGGTGGCATTGGTCTCGCCATCTGCATAGTTGCCACGACGATGCCGCTTCAGCAGCACAATCTCCAGGATGCCATCCTGCGCGGCGGGGTGGGAGGGGCGTGGCTGGATGAGAAATCGCTGACGGGTAGAGTGGCGGCTGGATGGGACAAGGCTTCGGGGCACAGTCGCTGTGACTAGCAAGGGGCGCAGCAAGCATGAAAGGCACTGCGGCCCCAGACAGACACACTGCTGGCCAGATCCAGCCTCCTGCTCTGCGCCACCCTATGCAAAGCCCTCAACTCCCACCGAGAGCGCCTGGCACGGGCCATCAAGACATCCCACCTGGATGTACCAGGTGCTCTCATCAGCCTTGACCTCGCGCCACAGGGTGCCACCCAGGACGGGCCGCTCCTCTACGCTGACTTCCAGGCTCACCGACGTGAGGCTGACGTGCACGGCGCGCCGGCTGGTGCCAGGAGGGAGGCTCACGAACACCTCGACGTGCGTCTGGCTCTGCCGCCACTTGTAGCCGCCGGCGTCGCTCCCCATGCCCTCGGGGACATCGATGGCTGCATACGCTTTGCTGCAGGGCAGTGCGCGACGAGCGCTCGCCTTGACTGCCTCCGCTGCCTCGGACATGCGCTCCAGCTCCTCGGCCGAGAAGCTGGGGCCTGTGAGACATGTGGATCGGGGGCCAGGGGTGTGGGAGAGCTGTCGGCGCAACACTGGTGGGCGTCCTACCATGGACCATTCTTAACAGGAAGAAGATCTCCACTTCCTCATGCACAGCGGCGTACCCCTCCCTCCCCCGCCTCGCACCAGCTGGCTTCGGCTCCAGTCTCCCATACATGGAGTCCATGACCTCTGCCCGGCTGGGGCCCGATGCGGCCTGTGCCGCCCTTTCCAGCCGGTCTACTTCATCGTCCTTCAGGACAGCGAGCTTACCGTGGCCCCTCATCCAAGTGGCAAACTTCGGATCAGCCTCCTCCATTGCATCTGCAAACTCGTTTCGTTTGCAGTGCAGGCGGTGGAAGGGCCAGTAGGCCTGCATATGGTGAGAAACGAGTTCAGGGCCATGCACGGGTAAGTTTGGGCTGGTGGCTGAATAAGAGGTGTACAGGGTCCATGCAAACACCCTCGGGTAGATCATGTCACACGAGGCATGCGCACTGATGATTAGATTACTGTGGCTTACCTTTTGACATTTGACTCCGCAGAAGTGGACTGAGTGACACCTGCTGCACCTTAGCAGATTAGTCCGTGCACCGCAGTTTGCTGTGTGGCAGTGCATTACAGCGAGCACAGGTCTTAGTATGAACTTCTTGGAAACTGCATTGACTCCTCATCTCGGGTACGCGATCACCCACCGCATTCCTGCCGTTGGACAGCAGTCTCGTCCCGAAGTGCAAGCTCCATGGCTGACTGCGGCGACTCCTATGGGCCAGATGTGCAGGATGCCCGCAGGCGATGCCAGTTGCGCAGAAGGCAGTGAGAATATTCGTGAGAGTATCCTGTCCGTTTAGCCGATACCGATCTGTCTTGGACATCTCGCACGTCTGCAATGGCTTTGGCGATGGTCAAACACTTGGGTGGAAAGTCGGAATGCAGGACATCCCCTGTCGAAGCCTGGCCCGTTCCACTCCCTCAACGTGTGCCACGCGGGCTTGGGCGCACTACAAACCTGCTCGGGGGAAGACTCAGAGCATTATCCATGGCTGAAACTACACGGCGCACCCAAATTCCTCTTCCCAATCTACAATAACAAGTGGAGTTACACACGCAGGGCGGCCCGGAGCCCAACGGGGACCATGAGCACAATCCGACTCGAGCCACTCGGTGACTCAGCGTGGGATGCAGGGACAGGAAAGCGTCGATGCCCAAGGTAGGGCACAGACAAAACATTTATCACAAGTCCTCCATGTGAACTTGAGCACGCCTCCGCCGATCTCGCGGCGCAATGCAAGCAGCAGAAACAAGAGAGGGCAGTGAGGGGTATCAAGAGGTGCCAGGGGCTGGCCCACAGACACATTAGGACTCAAAGGGATCAGGTTTTATGGAGCCCGCAATTTTGGGGTGGGGTGGGTGTAGGGGGGAAGGGTCCTGACCAGGGCCAACCTGGCCTCCGGCCCGACAGAGCATCAAGGTGGTACGACGAGCTGTCTCAAGGGTACGGCACCACACAACACAAACACGACTCCTGGACAGGCCAGCGCTAGGGCCATGCGTCAAGAGGCCTGAGGTTGGGGCAAGGGGCCAGGGCGCGACAGCACCCCACCCGCGCCCACCCGTGGCCCCCCCCGCCTGCTGTGGCGGGGGCGAGTCCAGGCAACAAAAAGGTAGACGAAAATCGACCAAAAAACAAAGGGAACCAACGTCTGGGAGCATGGAAGGGCGACAGTGGCGGGAAGCATCCCTCACGTTGAGTGACGGTGCGTGCGGTGGGGTGGGGGCTACCCCGGCGTGAAGGCGGGGCGCATCGGCCGCTCGGCACCCACGCATGTGCCGCAGGGGGCCTGCCTAGCCCCGGCTGCTCTGAGGGGAGGTGCAAGATCGGGGCGTGCCGCCGTCTGATCAGTCAAAGGCCGACAGGTCCAGCTGGAGGAGCATGATGTCGTCGTCGGCTGCATCGCCGTAGCCGCTGAGCGGGCGCAGAGCCTCCAGGTCCATTCCCTCGGCGGCCCAATCGGCGGCGGCGACGTCGCTGAGCACGCCGGAGAAGTCCGGGAGCTCCACCGACCCATTGGCCGAGGACGCCAGGGCAGGGGCCAGGCCGGAGTGCGACCAGGACGAGCGCTCACACGCCGCGCCCAGTACCGACTGAGGGGTGCCGTTGCCGCGGCTGCAGTGGGAGCGAGGGTGTGGTGGGTGCAAGGATTTTAGGGATGGCAAGGTCTGTACAGTGCAAGGCATGGTTTGTAGAGTAGGCACATCAGAGCCGTCGCATCAGAGCAAGCGTCCTGTGATAGCAGTTTGCGGCACAACCATACCCGAGACACAAGGGCAGATGCACACCTGCCGCCACCCAGCACATGCAGCCAACCCCCTTCGGCAAGCTCCGAGCCTGACTCCCTCACCTGGCTGCCTTGGCCTCGTGTGCAGCGCCGGGGGCGTGCGTGAAGGACCCCTCCTCGCTGCCGTCCTCGGTGAGCGACAGGTCCGACTCCATGCCCAGCAGCGCGGCGTCCCCATCCTGCGCCTTCCCAGAGCCCAGGTCGCAGGAGGCGCGGTGAGCGCCAGCCAGCGCCCCCCGCGCTGCCACCGGGGAGGCCGGCAGGCTCGCGCCACGGCTGCGCGCCTTTGCGGCGGCCTTGCGTGGCTTGCTCTTCACCGCCGCCTTCATGGGCGCGGCCCCGATGGCCTCGTACAGCTTCCGCCGCAGCCAGTCGTTGTTGTTGCTGTGCGTGGTCGTGCCGTACACGGCCTTGAACCGGGCCTGCAGGTCGCGCTGGCCCATGCGCGACACCTCGCGCGCCGCCTCCTTCACGTCAGCGGTGGTAAAGTGGGCCAACGCGCCGTCGCGCTGGCCGTGGGACAGGCAGTGCTTGAGCAGGTGGTGCGACCGCTGGTCTGCGCCGTCCAGCAGACTAGCCACGTCGGCCTCGGAGGTGGAGCTGGTGTTGGAGTCCACGGGGGGGTGCCGGTGGTCCATGTCCTGGGGGGTGCACAGCTCTAAATCCATGGCAGTCTGCGGGGATGACAAATAGGGACCGCTGGGAGGGAAGGGCTGCGGAGGGGAAGAGGGGGATTTGCTCCCCCGGTTGGGGAAATCAAATGGAGCACGTGCAGGGGGGGGACCGCTCCCCCTCGCCAGCAGGGTTGACGTGGGCCGCGACCGCAACGGGGAGGGGGGGGGACGATGGAGAACGAGTGAATGTAAAATCACCTTCAAAGTTGAGGAAAGTACTGCAGCGATCGGTTGAGGAAAGGGAAACACGACAGGCTCGGGGCGAGGGCGTCGTGCAGACTGTGCCTAAACGGTGAAATAACGTAACCTGGAGAAGGCAGCGATCAAACCTTCACAAGCATGGCCCTGGGGTCGTTTCAAGGTAATTACGAAACTCGGAAATAGAAGGAGGAGGAGGGAGGGGCGTCTATCGACGCGTGAGGGAATTCAGCTCCGGGGAGTGCCAGTTGTCGACCCCCTTCCAGGAGGAGCATCCGAGGCACGTGGGCCCACCCCCCCGATATGCATACCAGCATCGCGACAAGCATCCCAGCTCGCGCAACCCTCAACACAAGATGCGATACTACCATCGTCGCACATCACGCACCTTAGCGATGATCGAATTTGCGTGCATCCGTAAAAGGATCTCGCGGGACAAGTTCCGTTCCGTCAGACGGACGGGTACGGGCGACCTGGCAGCTGATACCGCGTGCTAAATCAACTTCTGGAGGAGATTGCCATCGATGGCGTTAAGCGGCCCGTTAGAATTCGCAAGCAGTTTCCTAAACGTTTCCGACACAGGCAAACCCTTGGGCTATGCCCCCGCATGTGCCAAACAGTGGTTCCGACTTGACCCTGGCTGATTTCGTCGAATCTCCCCGAGGTATCCGGCGAGGACATTTGATAAGGGGGGTTCTCCGATCGCGCATGACAACGCATGAAATTGCGACGCAATTACTTGTGTGACCTACATGCATTGACAGTGCGCATCCCGCCAGCATGAGCCGCTTGGCCGATTGGCCCTGGTACCTCCTCCGAGGGTGTTGGGGTTAGGTTAAAATCCACTCGGGGTACACACAAGATTCCCCACGATTCCTAATGAGAGGCCAACAGAGACACCCCTATAGGTCGTCAAGGTTGTCGTAAAGGGCATCAATGTCCTTGTACTTGCCCATCGCCAGCTCAGCCCTGAACTTGCGCGCCGTGTCGGTGGCCACGCCCACCAGAATGAGGACTGAGGTCCCCGCGAAGCCACGCAGGGCCGTCATGCCCGTAAGGCCCTCCACAATTGCGGGGGCAATGGCCAGGGCGCCAAGGAAAGCAGAGCCTGCAGTGGTGCACAGGCGCTGCTTGAGGAGGAGTTCAGTGGGCATGGGGCTTGGGTGACTGGATAGGGCCTGCTTACTAGAGGAGGGACGGCCCACATGCCTTCAAATTGTGGCCACTCCCGCATCCATTTGGAAGCATGGTACACGCAAAAACCCGATCACCGCCTCCACAAACGTACCGAGCACCGACATCCTCGCCAGGGTTTGGGTAATGAAGGCGGCGGTGTTCCGCCCTGGTCGGATGCCGGGGATGGAGGCCCCCTGCTTCTTTAGCTGCTCGCTCAATTCCTTGGGCTCGAATTGCAAGAAGGTGTAGAGGTAGTTGAAGCCCACGATCAGTGCCACATTGACCTGCAGAGGTGCATCAGGGAGGCACCACCAGCTCAGAGGGTCACACACGCTTGAGGAGCAGAGGCAATATCTGGGCAGCCCTGAGTTGCCCACACTGGAATGCCCTTCTTACGGCGTGGATCCACATAGGACGGAACACAGGCACAGTGTCAGCACTGCAAGACAGCAATGCAGCCCCTCGCATGCAAGTTCCAATGGCACCCGCACGGGGGCTAGATCTTGGGCAATGAGTCGCGGCAGACTGTCTGGCCATCGGCACCCCCTCCCTCCTCACCGGCAGGTAGAAGGCGCCGCCGGGGCCCAGCGCATTTGCTGCTCCGGCCAGGGTGGAGGAGTGTGTGAAACGCGCCAGTGTGCTGGGCACCGCCAGGAGCGAGGAGGCAAAGATGACTGGGAGGACGCCCGTCGCGTTCACCTGCAGCGATGTGGGACGGCCCGACGGTCATGTGGAGGGGTCGCACGCCCTGGCTCTGGGCCAGTGGCCGCTCTGGGGCCTGCACCACAGCCCGGTTGCCCCCATCCAAGCCGCTCTGCCCCAGACCTTGAAGGGCAGGTACGCCTGCTGACTCAGCGGGCCCCCAGCCTTGTAGCGCGAGCCGTAGGCCATTGGGATCTGGCGCTCCGCCTCCTGGACATACACAATGCCCAGCGTGGTGAGGAGAAAGGCAAGAATGTAGGCCGCCAGGGCGCCCACGTTGCCATCCCCGGCGGCCACGACCGCGGCGCCCACGGAGGAAGGCAGCGCCGATGCGATGTTGGCGAAGATGAGGACCGAGGTGCCGTTGCCCAGCTTCAGTTCGCTGATGGTGTCGGCAACCTGTGAGGCAGGGATGGGGAGGGAGGGTGGTTTTGCTGATTGGGGAAGACCTGAGAGCAGCACACTTGCGGGGGCTGTCATTCTGACCGACACTGATTCAGATCTACGGAGGGAGCTGCCACCTGCACCTCCTTGCAGCTAGCCAAGGCATGGGGTGCAGAAGGCACGCAGGTTGCTGCTGCACATTCCGCACCCACCTCACAGCCCAGGCATGGCAGTCCTCCCACAGCCAACCCCCGCCCTGCTCACAAAGACGAGGATCATGGCTCCCGTGGTGAGCACCAGGGAGTTGGAGGCCAGCCAGTACAGGGAGAAGTCGGGGACGTACGGCCGCAGGTAGGTGAGCTGGCCCACTGCCTGAGCGACGGCAAAGCCCAGGGACGCCAATTTCTGGTACAGCTCGAAGCGTGCCCGGCCAGCCCTGCCTTCCTCGCGCTGCAGACGCTTCAGGGAGGGGGACAGCGTGGCCAGCAGCTGGAGGAGGATGGAGGCATTGATGTAGGGCACGATGCCTGCAGGGGCGGGGCATACCAGGGTCGGTGGTGGGGTAACTCGGGCAGAGGTCAGGTGTAGAAAGTGGCACCTCAGGGGCCTCCCGCCTCCCTGGCAGGCCACGACCACTTGCCAAGGGAGAAGACGCCGACGCGGCTGATGGACCCGCCCGACAACGTGTCGATGTACCCCAGCAGGCCCCCGCCCTGCATGCTGGCGGCAAAGGCGTCCACATCCACGCCGGGCAGCCGGATATAGACGCCGAGGCGGGAGAAAACAAGTAGCGCCAGCAGGATGGCGGTGTTCTTGGGCAGGTCGCCGCTGAAGAACTGGGAGACGATGTTACCCTCATCCTTGCTTGCTGCTCTACAGAGGATCCGTGGCCGGGGTGTCCCACGGCTCGCCAGCTTCAGCAGACGCTGTGTGGAATGTTTGGCACAGCAATGGGTGGGTGAAGAGGGCACCAGGCTGGGTGGCACATCAGAGAATGGCTGGTCTCCCAACCCGGCAGCTGAGAGAGTGGGTGGCTGGCCATAGCTGACGCTGTAAAGGGATGGGCATCCCCTGAACCCACATCTCACCAAGTTTGTGAGACACACTGGAGGTGTAAGATTCTTGTGGGTACTCGACAAAGCACGCACAGACGTTGGATGCATAGAAAGTCTCTGCGGACACTTCCAGCTGGCTGTGAAGGGCCTTCTGGTGCAGCCATGCTGTGCTTGATGGCCAGATAAGCCTGCTCATGACAGAGGAAGTTGCTTGGTTTAGAGTGAGGGCTGGCAGCGCAGATGGTACTGCACGCATTGTACTTGTGGATCCTGCACGCGACTCGCTCACCTGCCCCGGTCATGGTGAGACACGCCTGCATTGCCTACAGCGTGCCTTCAGTGGTCTGGCTGAAGAAGTCTACCCCTCAGTCAACATTGGTTCCTAGCATCTCAATGAACACCTAGACAGATTTTACCATTGTGTGCGAAGTATGTTGTGTATACTCTTGTTTGGGCTGGGGGGTAAACCTCCGCGATCAACGATCCACCACCCCGCTCTCAGACCCAGCGTTGGAGGCGTGCTTTCTATTTAGGGCAAGCCATGCCCGAGTACGCCCTTGTGATGTGAGCACATACGGTCAATGCAAATACCCTCGCGAGGGCTGGCCTATCTCAAGTGTGCAGCTACGGAAGCGGGCAGAGTAGTTTCCGCTTGCTTCTTCTTCCCTGGCTTGGCCGCACGTCCTGCCCTCTGGTTCGGATCGACAGCTTGGGTCCGCCACGTAGGGTCGTGATTCACCTTGCGAATTCAAAAATCCAGATCTGTCCATCTCGTCATCGCCCTTTGGAAGGTTAAGGAAGCAGAACAATGTATAACAGCGGCAACGACCCAGGGGAGGGCCAGCCTCCGCTGAACAACGTGGGTCCGGCGGCCAACCCCGTCAGGTTTGAAAACCTGGCCGCAGCTGGACTCCCTGGAGTAGGCAGCGGGGTCCGTCTGGGCTCCCTGCAGAACCCCGGCACGGGGGAGCGAGGTGGGCAGGAGTCAAATCCTCACATCTGCCCGGCATCACTGTCGTTTGCTGTTGGGAGGCCGGTGTGCGCGCAGGAGCCAGGGGTGCCCAGTGTCATGCCCCCCCCCTTCCCTCCCCCATCCAAGGCCTCCTCCTCCATGCCATGCCCAGGTCAAGGCGCACCCGCCTACTCCAACTATGGTGCGGCGTACAGCGCTGCCCTGGCGCAGGCCCACCCCCCCGTCAGCCTGCAGCAGGCGTATGTGCACTCACCCCACCTCCAGGTGGCCCAGCCCGCGCCCCAGCACGTCTCCCTGGAGCTGCAGCACGCCATGCTCCAGCAGCACTACCTGCAGCAGCAGCAGTCCGCGGCCGCGGCGCAGTCTGCGCAGCAGCAGTACTTCCAGCAGCAGACGCAGGCCCTCCTGCGCCAGCAGCAGCAGTACCAGCAGCAGGCGGCCAGCGTGCAGGCGGCCAGCCAGGCGGCGGCGTATGTAGGGGGGCCGGGCAGCACCCTGTTTTCCACCGCGCTCCCGCAGTTCCAGCAGTACGCGTACCCGCAGGCCGGCACCTACACCCCGCCCACCCAGGGCCTGCCCGCGGTCAACGCCCGCGACATGTACTCCAGCCATGTGCGTGGGCCTGGTTCCTTGCAGGCAGGGTGGCGGGGGCGGCCTGCATGGGCCGCACCTCCCCCTCTCCTCCCATCTTTAAGTTTGGCCAGGGATGGTGGATAGCGAGCAGGCTGGCCCCCCCCGTGAGGACGATGGTCACCACTCGGGCCCCTCCGGGCCCCAACCTCACTGCCTCCTCCCAAACTTGACTCCCCTGTGCTGCAGGCTGCCCAGCCCTCTGCCAAGCGTCAGGCGCTGGACCCCCACCTCTCAGCAGCAGTGATGCAGTATGCTGCTCAGCAGGTGCCTTTGCCTGGACGGGAAGGGGGATCCCGGTTGCCATTCCGAGTGTGATCAGCGGGTTTGCATGATCAGCTTGTCGCTGCTCACGAGACTAGAAGCATGCAGTAGCCGTGGCTTGGCCTGGGCAGGAGGATGCAAGGCGGGTGCAATACACCTAGCCATGCCTTCATCCCTTCCTTCCCCAACCCTCCACCTCGTCCGCAGTCTGCTCGCCAGCCGCTCAGCAACGGGCAGTCATACCAGCAGACATCCAGCAGCCTATACCAGCAGCAGCAGCAGCGGCGCGCTCAGGCCGCCTACGCTGCCGCCGCCAACAACCGCAACAATATGAGGGTGAAGGTCGACATCCGCAACCGGGGTGCGACCGTGCTGCGGCAGGGAGGGGTGGCGGGGGGAAGGCTGTTGGACAGTGGAGCTCTGCTTTGTGGAGTGCGCACCGCGTTGCCTCCTCAGTGCATCTTCTGAGCGCTGACGACGCCCGGCAATTTTGTGCTCTGTGTTCCCTGCCCCACCCTGGGTGCCATCCAAGCATGCGCTGCTTCCTGCGCAGGTCACTTCAACGCCCAGTTCCAGGGGGAGGATACCTCGGCCAAAGACCACACCGACGAGGTGATGCGACGCTGCGAGGAGATCAGCACGAAGCTTTATGGACAGCTGGGTGCCAGCAAGCTGGACCCCACTGGGTGAGGAGAGGACGTGGGTGGCAGAGGTGTAGTTGAGGAGGGGAGGGGAACCGGGAATCGAGGAGAAGGTTAGAGAGTCATGTCGCCCGGCGAGCAGGCTGCCTTGTACCTCCTGTCCCTGGAGTTGATGCCGGCAGCCCCACACCTGTGGCTCACCTGCCAGTGCCTTCTGGCATGAACAGTGCGATGGCTGTGCAGCGCCTGTTTGTTCCCCCTTGCAACAGGCCCTTACACCCTCGCCCCCTTTCATACCCTGGTGCAGGGGCCCCGTGCGCGTGGCCGAGACGTACCAGCAGGTGGACCAGGCCCAGCTGATCGAGGCGTGCGGCGACACCGCGCGGTACCTGAAGCCCTACCAGCTGGTGGGCATCAACTTCCTCATGCTCCTCTACCGCCAGCGCATCGGCGGCGCCATCCTGGCGGACGAGATGGGGCTGGGCAAGACGGCACAGGTCATCTCCTACCTGGGCGCCATCCGCAGCCTGGACGGCGACGCCGGGCCGCACCTGGTCATCGTCACCGCGTCGCTGCTGGAGAACTGGCAGCGCGAGTTTGCACGCTGGTGCCCGGGTATGCGCGTGGTACCCTACTACGGCAAGCACCGCAAGATCGTGCGGGCCCGCCTGAATACACTCAGGTGCCAGGAAGGAAGGGAGGGGGGGGGGGAGGGGATTTTGGTGTGATGGGTGGGGGGTCCCGAGGAAGGGGTCCGGCAGGGCCTGGTTGCCTGTTGGGAGGTGCCCGAGGCCTCGTGTGAGGCCAGGAACGATGCCCTTGCTCTATTGTTCCTGAGGCATGCAGATAGGGGAGTGGGCTGGGCGTCGAGGCTGGTTGGGGCTTCCAGACAGCCATTGTCGGACACAATCGACTGCACTGGGCTTGCTGGGCTGGGCAGCACCCTTACTCGCTCCATGCATCATATGGACCCCTTCCTGTCTGTCATGTGCCTCGTAGGGAGCGGATGGCTCGTGGCGAGGAGGTGGACGACGACCTCTCCGACCTCACCGACCCCATTGCCCTGGAGGAAACCGCGCGCAGCGAGAAGGCTGCGGCCGACGAAGCAGGTAGGGGCAGGGTCCAGGCGCAAGAGCACGGTGGCGGCAAGCGCGAGGATGCTCTTACGAGGGGAGCTGCCATGGTAAATATGGCATCAAGGTCCCTCATGTGTGGCACCGCACTCTAGCAGCAACCAATCCTCGCTTTCCCTCGTGCACGCGCCAGCCGCAGCAGCGGAGGACGACTCGGACGACCCGGCTGGACGGGGGCTCATGAATGACTCCGATGAGGACTATGCAGGGGAGAAGGAGGGCAAGACCGGCAAGGCAGGAAGCACCAACATCGACTGTGAGTGCGGGGCGCCTTGCTGGTGGATGGGGGGGTGCCCCGGTGGCGTGTCTCTCCAGAGTTTCATCTGTGTATCGTCTGCCCTCCACTTGTTGAGCGCCTGGTCTCAGCCCAGCGGTCACCAATGTCTCCTCAGCGTACGGCCGTGGCGCCGAGCCAGGAAGGGCTCGCGCGATGGACATGGAGACCCCGCTGCCTCGAGCACCCTTTGATGTCATGCTCACGTGCTACACCCTCTTTGAGCGGGACGGGTGAGCGTGGCGAAAGGCTTGTTCTGAAAGGGGGGTGTCTGGCGCAAGGCGCATCCAGTCACTGCTTCTCGGGATCCATGGAACTGCTTGCCGCATGGATTGGCACCTTGCACCGGCTCGCTGGGGACCGCGCAGCAGCCTTTGGCATCTCATCCTCACCCACACCGAGCCGCCCGCTCCTGGCACAGGCCTGCCCAGCGCCATGATCGCCCTTTCCTGGAGAGCTGGCAGTGGAGCCACCTGATCATGGACGAGGCCCATGCCCTGAAGAACGCGGAGACCGTGCGCTCCCGTCGCCTCAGCAGGCAAGGCCTTGGCCCGGGGGTGGTGGCACTGGGTGGGGACCAGATCGTACTGGAACCAACATGGAAGGCCCTTCCCTTCCCCAGCTGATTGAAATCTGGGAAAGTGTATCAGGAGCTGCATGTGCTCCGTGGGATCGTACACGCACTGATCTGGGGAACGACACTCCCTCGCCTGGCTCTAGGCCAAGTCCTGCAGAGGATGGTGTCAGGCCCCCTCGCGCATGTGGCTACGAGCCCCATCCCAATGGCTCCCCGCATCACTCACCGAACCGCTGCTCCCCGGCCACATACGCAGGGTGGCGCAAGTCTCCCGTCGCCGCGTCATGATGACGGGCACCCCGCTGCAGAATGACCTGGGGGAGCTGCAGAATCTCCTGCACTTCCTCCTGCCTGCCATCTTCTCCAAGGAGACGTTTGAGAATGTCAAGGACGTGCTCAAGGCAAGGGCAGGATTGGAGGGGGGTTGGAGGGCGCTTGGGTGACGAAGGGCTTTGCAGGCATCGTGCGTGCGGCGAGGGGACATGAGTTGGGCGCGGTGCTGGCGCAGGCGGAGGAGGTGCGGCCTGAGGTTGATCATTCGTGGCTTGAAAGCTGCTGCGATGTCCCGGCCCGCATCCCAGTGCCAAGCCATCTGCTCTATGCGTCGCACATGAACCCCATCCATCGGCTGTCTGTCCCAAGACATATGACACACAGCCCTCAAACTCACTCCCCACCCCCCGTTCGGCCTCGTCGCGCGCAGGACGACGCGGAGATCGCCAAGCTGACGGCGCGCATGAAGTCGCTGCTGGGCCCCTTTGTCCTGCGCCGGCTGAAGACGGAGGTGAAGAGCCAGCTGACGGAGAAGGCGCACAAGAGCGAGTTCATCCCCATGGCCCCGGAGCAGCAGGCGCTGTACGAGGCGGCGGTGGCGGCCTACCGGCGCCAGCTGTCGGCACGTGCCATCAGCGCCGACGCGGGCGCGGCGGGGATCGAGAAATGGTGCAAGTCGGTGGGCGCGCGCAAGATCTCCCACATCTTCTCCCACCTGCGCAAGATCGCGCAGCACCCGCTGCTGGTGCGCCACCACTACGACGATGCGCGGGTGGAGGAGATTGCGGCGCTGGCGCACGAGCGCCAGCTCTTCTCCGGCAACGCCACGCTGAAAAAGGTGCAGGCGGAGCTGGCAGGGTACTCCGACTACGCGCTGCACGTCTTCTGCTACAACGCCGGCCCTGAGTTCGACGCGTACCGCCTGTCCTCGGAGCACCTCTGGTCTTCCTCCAAGTTCCGCCTGCTCAGGACCATGCTGCCCAAGCTGAAGGCCGCGGGCTCGCGCCCCCTCATCTTCTCACAGTGGACCTCGGTGCTGGACGTCATGGAGTGGCTCATGAGCGAGCTGCAGCTGCCCTACGTGCGCCTAGATGGGTCCACAGCCGTGGAGGAGCGCCTGGCCACCGTGGACAAGTGCGTGGGGTTGGTGTGGGGATGCTGTTGATCGGGGGAGGAAAGGATCGGGACGCCAGGCTGGGCCCTGGATCCTTTGGTCCGGGGGGTCCCAACCAGGCCACAGGATTCACGGCTCCCTGGTCTGCAGGCTGGCGCGCAGGCCCATGGGCCCCTCGCCACACCGCCATTGGACGCGATCACCCCACACCACCCACACGCGCGCGCACACACTCACACATGCACAGGTTCAATGGGAGCGAGGAGGTGTTTGCATTCCTCCTCTCCACGCGCGCAGGGGGCCAGGGCCTGAATCTGACTGGTGCGGACACGGTCATCCTGCACGACTCCGACTTCAACCCCCAGACAGACCGTCAGGCAGAGGACCGCTGCCACAGGTGAGGAGGAGCGGGGGGGGTGGAGATGCAAGGGGGAGGCCCCTGATGCTCACTCACAGGGCAAGGGACCACACCTGAGGGCTGAGCAGGGCACAGGCCCCGCACTGCCTGAGACGATCGCGGGCCTTGGCATCTGAGGTCCTGGCCTCACACAGCAAATGCTCACCCACCGTGCAGGCTCGGCCAAAAGAAACCCGTGACGGTCTACCGATTCATCACCAAGGGAACGGTGGACAAGAACATTTACAACATTGCGCAGCGAAAACTGCTTCTGGATGCAGGTGTGGTGGATAGGATTGGCCCACGTGGAAGGGAATGGGGCGGGTTAGGTTGTGAGGTGGTCGCAGGTGCACCCGTGCACAGCTCTGCGAATTTTCTAAGGCAGTGCTGGGACTCCTCTCCTATGCCTCGTGAGCCTTGCCACAGCATTCACTCTTTTGTACAGTGTAAAGCCTTCCTATAACATCCCCCCATCGTCCTTGTCCTGTGCAGCTGTCCTGGACGGCATCACTACCAGCACCAGCAAGCATGCAGAGACACCTGCGGACCGCTTGCAGATGGGCTTCATCCTTCACGACTTGCTCACTGGCAAGGAGCCAGAGGATGAGGACGAGCCCAAGCCCGAGGACGGAGTGGCTGAACCCAAGACCGAGGAGGGCGGGACAGGGACTCCAGCACCCAGCGCCGAGGTGGGCCAGGCAGAGGAGGTGAAGCCGGAGGAGGCAAGCAAGATCGTGGAAGTCACCGAAACGGAGTCTGTTCCCTAGTCTAGGCCTGCGAATGCACCCTCAATAACCAAGCCATGCATCCAGAGTGACAGTGTAATAATATTCTGGTCGCGAAGTGATAGTCATGCCCTTGTGGCGCTCTCATGTGTAAGCTGTGTCGGAGCCCGGAGCGAACGCTGGCTGGGCGAATGAACCGGGAGTGTCACCCTCTCGCGATCGCCATCATCCAACAAAGGTAAAACCTAAACTTATGCACTTATGCAATTGGTGCATTGCGACGAGAGTGGTACATGACAGGTGCGTGAGTGGTTTCGCGCGCCTCAAAATGACGCAACCTTCCGCGCATCCCCGTCGGATTTCAGACTCAGATTCGGGAATTACTACGATGCGGGGCTTGCGGGTGTATATAGGGACCCAGCACATTCCACGACCGCCACATATTCACCCTTTTGCATCCAATCTTGTTTCAACCCCATACTCTCACGAGCACACCCAAGCCAGCAATAGCGTCATCAACATATAGAGCAGAAAACTCCGCAACCATGTTTGGCCTTTCTGAGTAAGTGATGGTTTCGGATGTGCCGGCATGATGGGTTTTTGACAAATCTTGCATACACACGTTCTTTTCCTTTGTGTAATTGATCCCACATGGATGCATTCCCTCAATGCAGTGCCCACCACACCGAGATCGGTGCCAAGAAGGACGCCCTGGAGGTCCTGAAGCATGTGCCCAACCAGGTTTGTCACCCTCAGAGGATTTGCTCGTTGCATGTTTTGGATCGTGATGCTTGCGTGTCGCTGTGGTTATGCCGCGGCGCACCATCGGTAGCTTCTACGCTGACCACGGAGCATCAGCGATGGGTTTACGTCATCTCAGCTTCCCTCCTTGTCCGACACCTCGCAGCTGCTCATCAATGGCAAGTTTGTAGACGCCAAGTCCGGCAAGACTTTTGCCGTCTACGACCCTCGCACTGAGGAGGAGATATTCCGCATTGCCGAGGCCGATGCCGCGGATGTGGACGAGTGAGTTTCTCAAAGTTTCACCTAGGAGCGATTGCTGTGATTTTCACCACTGACTTCTGCATGTGCAGTATTGATGGCATTTCCTTAGCCTGACCTGTTCATCGTCGCCCAGCCTCCTGCTGCCCATTGTTCAGTCCGTCGGCTCATGGCGTCCGCTGCTCCCCTTTCCCCCCAACAGTGCCGTCGCTGCTGCGCGCGAGGCGTTCGACCACGGCCCCTGGCCCCGCATGTCTGGCCGCGCCCGCGGCCGCATCATCTACAAGCTGGCCGACCTGATCGAGCGCGACCTGGACATGCTGGCCACTGTAGAGTCGCTGGACAACGGCAAGCCCCTGTCCGTCGCCAAGGCCGCCGACATCACGCTGACCATCGACCACCTGCGCTACTTTGCCGGCTGGGCCGACAAGCTGGAGGGCAAGACCATCCCCACCGACGGCAACCACTTTGCCTACACCCTGGTGGAGCCCAAGGGCGTGGTGGGCCAGATCGTGCCCTGGAACTTCCCCGCCCTCATGATGGCCTGGAAGATCGCCCCCGCCCTGGCCTGCGGTAACGCCATCGTGCTGAAGCCAGCGGAGCAGACCCCCATGTCCGCCCTCATCATCGGTGCGTGGCCGTCCTGGATGGTGTGGGGTGTCGCGGCGGTGTCATTTCGTGGAGTGGTGCGACCATCTGGACCCCCTTGTTTGCACATTCACCCTCATGGGGAGCCCTTTCCTCGGTTGAACATACAAGGATGTGCACACATCCTCAGCCCCAGCACTCTACCCATTCTCTCTGCCATGTTCCACTTCCTCCGACCACATCCCCCTCCTCATTCCAACTCCACATCAACAGGCAAGCTTGCCCTGGAGGCCGGCCTCCCCCCGGGCGTGCTCAACATCCTGCCCGGCTTTGGCCCCACCGCGGGCGCCCGCCTGACCAGCCACCCCGCCGTCGACAAGGTGGCCTTCACCGGCTCCACCGAGGTGGGGCGCATCATCATGAAGTCCTGCGCGGAGCACATCAAGGACGTGACCCTGGAGCTGGGTGGCAAGTCTGCCATGATCATCGGCCCCACCAAGGACATCGACAACGCGGTGGACATCGCGCACTTTGCCCTTTTCTTCAACCAGGGCCAGGTGTGCACGGCCGCCTCCCGCCTCTTCGTCCACGAGTCGGTGTACGACGAGTTCTGCGCCAAGGCTGCCGAGTACGCGCGCAAGCGCAAGGTGGGCGACCCCTTTGAGGCCGAGACGGAGCAGGGCCCCCAGATCGACAACGAGCAGTTCGAGAAGATCCTGGGCTACATCGAGTCGGGGAAGGAGCAGGGCGCGCGCCTGCTGACCGGCGGCGCCCGCGTGGGCAAGAAGGGCTTCTACATTCAGCCAACCGTCTTCGCCGACGTGAAGGACGAGATGAAGATCGCGCGGGAGGAGATCTTCGGCCCCGTCCAGTCCATCCTGAAGTGGAGCACCACTGAGGAGGTGCTGCGCCGCGCCAACGCCTCCGAGTACGGCCTGGCGGCCGGCATTGTCTGCGACGACATCCACTTGGTCAACACGCTGTCCCGCGGCCTGCGCGCCGGCACCATCTGGGTGAACACCTATCACGTGTACGACCACGGCGTGCCGTTTGGTGGCTACAAGATGTCCGGGGTGGGGCGCGACAAGGGCTCCGCAGCGCTGGCCCACTACACCAACACCAAGGCTGTGGTGCACAAGCTGGAGGGCGAGCAGGCGTGGCTGTGAGTGCGGTCGGGCCGGGCGCGAGCGCCCCGCCGAATGGTGGCCCCACCCTGTGGGCCTGGGTGCGAGGTGGGCCGACTGCCCACCGATCTTCCCTGCATACCCCTCTTTTCCACCATGCCTCGCATTTGAGGGAGTGTCAAACTTCCGAATTTTGGTCTGCTGTGGGCTCCATGCATGGGGGGCGGGCATCCCCCTCCCCAGGCTTGCATGCCATGATTTTGAGGCGCTGTCTGCGCCATTTATCCTACATTGGACTTGAGATGCAAGGTAACACTGCATAAAGCCAGAGGACTCCCACGGTAATCAGGAGAGGGGTTTGATGGGAACAGGGCCCTGTCCCGTTCGGGATTGCTCAGATGCCCAGACGCCGCTCAGGGTCGTGAAAGCTTGAGGCCTCGTAATGCGGACACAAACCCTCCTTGTGACGATCGTATGCATATTATGACCACGATACGGCCAAAGAATGTCCCTGGGGTACGCCGAGAAGCTCTCCTTTAAGGAGGACGTCGGGGGCAGCTTGGGCGCACCGGAGGTTTTCGATGCTGCCACCGAACTTGCCCAGAGCATAGAGAAACTCATCCAGCTCGTGAGTGGACCCAATCCTGCACGACAGGGAACTGCCCTGTCGATGATTCATTGGGTGCGCTGGGTGATTGCAGATGCACCCAACAAACCCTGCAGGTGTCGGAGGCAAGGAGCATCATCGCCTTCACAGGGGCTGGGATCAGCACCAGCACGGGCATCCCGGACTTCAGGGGTCCAAACGGTGTCTGGACGGCGCAGAAGTTGGGAACGGCCCTCCCAAAAGCCACAGTTGAATTTGCCAATGCTGCGCCATCGCTGACACATCAGGTGTGTTGAAGGGTGGTTGCAGGCTCGGTTTGATGCCCTGCCAGTTTCTGTATACAATTGGCTCGCAGCACGACCTGCTCTTTCTCTCGCTGGCTGAGCACCCTTCCTGCCATCGTGCAGGCTCTGCTGGCCTTGCATGGCACCGGCAAACTTAAGTACCTTGTCAGTCAGAATGTGGATGGCCTGCACCGACGGAGTGGGTTCCCTGCCGCGGCCTTGGCGGAGCTGCATGGCAACTGCTTTCTGGAGCGCTGCAGCACATGTGGAGCAACCTTCACTCGTGACTTTGAGGTCGAAACGGTGAGTTGATGGGGAAGGTTGTGAGGGGGCGTTACCCGGACGGGGCGCTGGTGACTGTGGCCTGTGGGCGTACAATCCTCGAAGCTCCTGCTGCAGCCCTTGGTACCTGGACAAACTGCAGGTTGGCTTTATGGAGACGGGACGCTTCTGTGAGGTGCAGGGATGCCGTGGGCCCCTCACAGACACCGTACTAGACTGGGATGATGCCCTCCCTGCGAAGGAGTTGAAGGAAGCAGGTGGGTAGCTCGGGGATGTTCAGGGCTGCGCTGGAGTGGCAGGGGAACCCACCCTGTGCCAGTACCTTGTCGCTCTACCCCTTGGATCCAAGCTTGACCAACTATCCCCTCAGAGCTCCGTGCCAAGCATGCGGATCTGGCCATCTGTCTGGGGACCAGCCTCCAGATCCGGCCGGCTTGTAACCTGCCTCTGCGAACTGTGAGAGTCTACAAGGACCGTCCCCAAGGTGCTCTGGTTGATAGGAAGGGGAACAGTCCTACCAGGTGGCATTTGTCGGGCCCACTCCAATCTGCAACCCAACCAATTTCGCACAGCTGGGAAGCTGGTCATTGTCAACCTGCAGCGCACACAGCACGACAAGAAGGCGTTGACGTCTGGTGGTCTCGTGATTCATGCCCGGACAGACGACGTGATGCGCGGCTTGATGGCCGGGCTGCACATGCAAGTACCAGAATACAAGCGGCTGGACACATTTGTCCTTGAGGTGGCGCTCATCGAGCAGGAGGCCAAGAGGGTACGGCATTCAGAGTCTGGGGCTACGGGCACGCCAAAGGACAAGCTAATGATAGGAGTACGGAACCAGCATGGTCGGCAGTGCCCCCTGCCATTTGTCGAGGACGTCACCTTGAAGGCCGAGGTGAGTGGCGTGCTACTCTGGTGCACAACCCATGTATGGTGATGTGAGACTCACTCATCGCCCGCTCACCCCGCAGATCTCCAATGACCATGTCTTCCAGCTCCGCCTGGAAGGGCATCCATTCTGCCATGCTATTGCGGCAGAAGCAATCGCTGGGAGGGTGTTGCACGTCGCTATTGCGCTGCATCCACAGCTTGGTCATAGTGGAAGGCACCTGCTCATCGACCACCACATTCCCAAGGATTATAGGATGATGGATGACCAGGTATCCAGGTACACTTTCTTGACACAAGCCGTTCAGTATCCTCTATAGACCCTGTAACGCCACCTCGTAACTGGGTTTTGCCCCCACGAGAACCGCGGGGGAGTTCACACGTGCCGTGTGAGGGTGAAAGTGAAATCTGCATCCACGCGCAACACGCCTGCATGCACATAAGTAGCGTGAAGCCAGCCACAAGCCCAACAAGGAAATAATTTTCGCTTGGACACTGAACAAGTGAGCTGCGCGAGCATTCGTAGAGGGACTGTCCCTGCCCCTTGGTCCCCTTTCTGAGGAGGCCTCACTGACCATGCAGACCGCAGCATTCACGACTCGAGCTCCCACGAGCCAGTGTAGCGTTGGTCGCAGTAGATCAGGCCGTGTGAGGACAACGTGCGTAGCCGCACCGCCCACGCCCGCCCGAGCCCCCGCCAGCACAGGATGGGTGCGCAGTTTTGGACGTGCCTCGCCCGTCGCTGTGGACACTTCGTTTCATTGGGCACCAGAGTGCTTCATTGCATGGTGGGGTGCCTCGCGTGAACTCTCACGGTAGCCTGCGCAACTATCTCTCCTAAGACCTCACCTCCAGAAACCACCCCCCTCCCCTCCCCCAGGTGAAGAGCCCCATGACCATGACTGAGAAGATCATCGCCAACCACTCAGACAGCTCCGTGGTCAGGCCCGGCTCCAACATCTGGACCCGGGTGGACAAGCTGATGACCCACGATGTGTGTGGCCCAGGCACCTTTGGCATCTTCCAGAAGGAGTTTGGCGAGAATGCAGAGGTCTGGGACCGCGAGCGCGTGGTGCTCATGCCGGACCACTACATCTTCACCTCCGACGAGCGTGCCAACCGCAACGTGGACATCCTGCGCGACATGGCGAAGCGTTACAACATCAAATACTTTTATGACATCACTGACCGCTCGGACTTCCGGGCCAACCCGGACTACAAGGGCGTGTGCCACGTGGCCCTGGCCCAGGAGGGCCACTGCAAGCCGGGGGAGGTCATGTTTGGCACAGACTCCCACACCTGCAACGCCGGGGCGTTCGGCCAATTCGCCACGGGTGTGGGGAACACCGACGCTGGCTTCATCCTGGGGACAGGAAAGCTGCTGATCAAGGTGCCGCCCACCATGCGCTTCGAGATGGTGGGCCAGATGCCGCCGTACCTGCTGGCCAAGGACCTCATCCTGCACATCATCGGCGAGATCTCGGTGGCCGGCGGCACGTACCGGGCCATGGAGTTCAGCGGGGAGGCCATCTCCAACATGAGCATGGAGGAGCGCATGACCATCTGCAACATGGTGATCGAGGCCGGCGGCAAGAACGGTGAGGGAGCTGGAGGGTGGGAGGGTGGGAATGGATGCCTGTCGCGGCGGCAGGGTGGGGAGGTGATGAACGCGGTGGGATGCGCAGTGCAGGCACCTGCTCCAGCCCAGTATTGCATCGAGGGGAATCGTCCCCCCTTGTCCCACAGGCATGTGCCCCCCGGACGAGACAACATTCGACTATGTCACCCAGAGGACCTCCGAGCCCTTTGAGCCCGTGTATGCTGACAGCGCAGCGCAGTACGTGGAGAGCTTCAGGTTCGACGTGTCCAAACTGGAGCCGACGGTGGCGGCGCCCCACTCCCCTGACAACCGGAAGCTTGCAAGAGAGTGCCGCCACGTCAAGATCGACCGCGTCTACATCGGCTCGTGCACTGGCGGGAAGACGGAAGACTTCATGGCGGCAGCAAAGCTGTTTCATGCCGCGGGGCAGCAGGTGAAAGTGCCCACCTTCCTCGTACCAGCCACCCAGAAGGTAGCCTAGTGTTCGTTGTGGAATGTTTGAGTGGCTGGGAGTGGGGTCACCTGTGTTGCTGAAGCCGGCACTCGCAGCTGAGCTTGGCCCTTGCCACCCGCTCCCGACTGTGCAGCTGACGCTGGCAGTAGCCGCAGCGTCAGCATGCTCAGCAGAATGCACGACCCTTTTGGTTGACGTGTAATGACCTTTACAATTGTCATGTCGTCCCTCTCTTCTCTCCCTGCTTCAGGTCTGGGCAGATGTATATGCCCTGCCAGTCCCTGGGTGTGGTGGCAAGACCGCAGCCCAGATCTTCGAGGCGGCTGGCTGCATCACCCCAGCGGCGCCCTCGTGCGCGGCCTGCTTGGGGGGCCCACGCGACACCTTTGCACGCATGAACGAGGCCCAGGTCTGCGTGTCGACGACCAATCGCAACTTCCCGGGGCGGATGGGGCACAAGGATGGGCAGGTGTACCTGGCCTCACCCTTCACAGCAGCAGCCTCGGCCCTGGCTGGGCATGTGGCTGACCCGCGAGACTACATGTGAGGGCATGTTCCCCCTGCTGCTCCAAGAATTGAAGAATGCCACGAATGATAGCAGCTGCTGATTGGCGTCTGATTTCTTTTGCCTGTGCTTCATGCCATGACCATGGTAGAAGCGTCCTGTTTTATATCTTACATGCTCGAGGCCTATTTCCTGTGATTCATGAAGGGGGTACACTATCGGGCGACGAGAAGAGACATGCCTAGGTCCATTAAATATTCCACTCGCTGGACTTTAGTACGTCGCTGCTGATCCTCAAGGGGATAGATATTGCCCGAGCACCACCTCCTCCTGTGAGCGGCACAGGCAGCACGGCAGGAGATGGTCCTTGCTGGCACGCTGAGCAATTGTGACATCGAAGAGCAGGCCATGCCACCAGTCTCACCGGGGGAGGAGTCTCACCTGTATGCCCTGGACCTTTCCTAGATGCCCCTGCAATGCCTTGACGGACCATGTCAGCCACGCCCCACGCGTCGACAAATGCTGCCACGGCATTGAGCTGCTCCTGGTACTCCTCGTCTGTCAGAGGGAAGGATTTCTGCTCTAGGAAGCGCCACATGACATGCAGGTACATGTTGTTCCCTCGCTGCTGAAGCCGAACGTCAAAGCTGCGAAGGGTGTGCGTGCGGTAACTCAATGGTGCAGTGCAGACCGCCATGACTGGGCATGAGATGCACGACCACACCACTCCTCCAGGCTCCAGTCCCCACCCCTCACCTCCTCTGCCACTTGGCATACACGAGGTCTCGCAGCTCCCCGCCACTGAACCTCTCAGGACTATATGCTCTATTCAATTTATTCCGGGCGCTCTCTATGCCCCCACTCTCCTCATCTGCACCGTCTTGTTGGCACAGCATGGACGGTGCATGAGCATGGGGGGAGGGGGCGGACCACCTGCAGAACACGCGCTCGCCACAGACTCATGAAGACGGCATGCCTTCCTGGATCGTACCCGGATCACCTCCTTCTGTCGTTGATGAATGAACTGGGATGTATCTCCTCCTATGTAACGCCCGATTTGTTCTCCGACTTGTGGGCACTGGCGCTGTGGTCCTGCCCGTCAACAGAACTGGACGGCACTGTGTGCATGCAGTGGCAAGATGCATCCTCGGTCTCAGTCGAGCAATCAAGAGCAACGTTTCCGAAATCCTGAGCTGCAAACGCACGCCCACTTCCTCCTGCTCCAGGCCACGATGATGATGTTTTCTGTCCGGCTTACGCTTGGCATTCGCTCGGCTCAGAAGATTTTCCTTCTCATGGAGTACTGCCTCACGTTTTTCACAAAGCAGATTTCCCGCGCGTTACACCTATACTGGTCCCTTCCTCTTCAAATGGAAAGGGCAAGAGCATCCGGTGAGTAAAGTTTGAGCGTGCGGTCATAAGGGGGCGGACCACCTGCAGAACACGCGCTCGCCACAGGCTCATGAAGATGGCATGCCTTCCTGGATCGCACCCGGGTCACCTCCTTCTGTCGTTGATGAATGAACTGGGATGTATCTCCTCCTATGTGACGCCCGATTTGTTCTCCGGCCTGTGGGCACTGGCGCTGTGGTCCTGCCCGTCAACAGAACTGGACGGCACTGTGTGCATGCAGTGGCAAGATGCATCCTCGGTCTCAGTCGAGCAATCAAGAGCAACGTTTCCGAAATCCTGAGCTGCAAACGCACGCCCACTTCCTCCTGCTCCAGGCCACGATGATGATGTTTTCTGTCCGGCTTACGCTTGGCATTCGCTCGGCTCAGAAGATTTTCCTTCTCATGGAGTACTGCCTCACGTTTTTCACAAAGCAGATTTCCCGCGCGTTACACCTATACTGGTCCCTTCCTCTTCAAATGGAAAGGGCAAGAGCATCCGGTGAGTAAAGTTTGAGCGTGCGGTCATAACCTGCGGTTGCAATGAGGCAGGCCCCATCTGGGCTGATGTCGCCGGCCATGACCTTCCCATCGTGGCCTGCCAGAGTCTTGGCCAGCCGCAGAGTGCGCCCGGCCCACAGCTTGCTGACCTTATCGTACCCACACGTCAAAAGGTAGCTACCCGTGATCGGCTCAAAGCGGACAGTAGAGATCAGCGACGTGTGACCTGTGAATGAAAAGACTATCTGCGATGTGGAGATCCTTCAGGAATGGGTATTCCTCCCAACAACCTTGACAAGCCAACAATGCTCCCCTCCCTCTCTGAATCGTCGCACCTGGGAGGATGGTGAGGGTACCCTTCTTCCGCAGGTCAAACACATGTGCGGTGTTGTCCTCGGATCCTGTCGCCACATGGTACCCATTTGGGCTGAAATCTGCCGCTAGGATGGACTTCACGTGTCCCTCGAGCTTCATGATGTTGCGACCTGTCCGCAAATCCCAGAGCCTGCCAGTGGCATCCATGCCACCCGTCGCCGCAAGGGCGCCATCCCCCTGCAGTGACGTGGGGTGCAGGACCTCCGGGAATGACTGAGGTGCATTGTCTGAGATCGCAGCCAGATCAGCCACCTTACATGATGCGCACCTGGAAGGCGATGGCGTACACAGCCCGACTGTGACCCTCCTGCTCCTGCAAGCAGGTACTCGTTGCGATGTCCCAGAAGCGCCAGGTGGTGTCAAAGCTAGCTGTGCCCACATGTCTACCAAAAGGATGGAATGCCACCCTTCCAAGCCGGTCAGTATGGCCGGAAAGTGTGGCTTGGCAATGGCCCTCCTTGGACCACAGACAGGCTGTGCCGTCTGTGGCTCCTGACACAAACGCCACTCCTTCTGTGGATGTTCCTGCACCATGCATTGCAAAACAGACCTGTTGGCATCTGTCCTGGCTAGCAAACTGGAGCAACTTGTTATGATATAGATCAACTCTTCCCCCATCAGGCTCAATCTCAAAAGCAGCCGCCACACACCTGCCACATTCGGATTCCATGCAACTCCTGTGACGCGGTCCGTGTGAGCCTTGATGCTCGTCACCACACGGCAGCTGGCAGAATCCCAGATTTTGACTGCACCACTCCAAGAGCCAGTCAGCAGCTGTGACCCGTCCGGTGAGAAGACACACCCCACGATTGGTCGGTCGTCCCCGATCTCAGACACTTGATTGATGAGATGCCGAAGGGGTAATTCTACGCAATGAGGGCGGCGAGGAGAATGGGGTCGGACATCGGCGAGGTAGGGGCAGCGATGGCATGCCCAAAGCTGCCGCCACCTGGCTAAGCCAAGCAGCTTGGACCACACCTTCTTGGTCACCATGCCCGTTTGCTTCCATTCTCTGGCGCTCGGAATGCAGGCGCCTGGCTGCCCTTTTCAAAGACTCTTGAGCAATCTGCAGGGGCAATCAGCGAAGTGAATACACACCTTGTTGACCAGAGGCGGCACAAAGAACTCGTAGCACAGATGTACCTGAAGGCGTGCAGACTTCAGCTGATCACTCCCTTCTGTGTAGAAGATTTCTTTCTGAGACACTAGCTGAGCCGCGGGCTCCAATGTAAGGCCTGCAACAAGTCGAAGGACCTGGAATTATACGATGCCGTGACCTCCAGCATGGCATGCCAAGCAGTCCACAAATGCTTCCGAGCCTCACGCTAGGCCGGCCCTTCACTCAACTCACCACTGGGCGCAGCATAATCATTCAGGGCATAGATCTTCCGCAGACGGTCAGAGCGTTCCATCTGTAGGTGGACAGTGTCCCGGAAAATGATCCGTGGCCTGCATCAAGCCCCGCCATACTGTCATCAGGCAAAACCAAAACACTGGCAAGATGCATGCTCTCCTTGGCCTCCCACCTCTCGCTCTCCAAACAGGGTGATGGGCTCTCCAAGCTCTCTCAGAAGACGCCGGACTTCCCCATCATTAGTGGGAACCACTACAGTCTTCATCCTTCGCCGCAACTCCAGCTCTTGCATGATCTCCTGCTGCTTACTCATAACAGCTGCACTTGCCTGTGCCATTGGATGTGTGTAGCTGGGCCGTCGATACTGGCGATAAGCAATCACCAAGACATCTACACATGAGCACCATCTCCTGACAGAGCAGCCAGAGTTGGTGGGCCAGCGTACCTCTGGAAGCGGCATCATGATTTGCGCTTCCTGCATCCTTTTCTCGCAGTGCGCCTATCGGTGTCACGCGAGTCCCTGCGCTTAGTGCTCAGCCAAGCTGCAAGCCTGCCGGGGCATCCACTTGCAGGCTACTTCGATACGCTGATATAGCTATGAGCTCAAGCGCGGGTATGAACCTTGCCTTGTCGATCATTGATCAAGTTGATCCCTTCCCTGTAGGATACTGTAAGGCTGGGGGTGGAGGAAGACCGTCCAATTGCGATGCTTGCAGCATGCTATGCGAGGTATGCCGGAGCACTGCCTGCCCAGTATTCGATCACACCCTGCACACAGTCGACAATGCCTTTGAGGAACCTTTCATCACCTGCTTGATGCAATTATTTTGAAAAGTATACTCACACATAATAAGGCGACTGGCTGCTCGTCGCGTGCGTGGAAAAGCTGCCCATCGGCAGACTTGTGCGGCATCTCCGAATAGACTCGTCCAAGCGTTACCATGGCGTCTAAGCGACAAAGAGAGGAAATACCTATCCCACATCATGAGCCTCTCCTCGAGGAACTCGTGTACCTGGGCGACGATGCATTTCCGGTGAGTGTAGGCGTGCCACATTGAGCTGGGGCTCTCCTGGACATTTTGCATCGCCAAGTCACCCACTTGGCTTCCCATCCTCCCTTCCCAGACCCTGGAGCTAGAGAGGGACGTGATGCTCTCTGCTGTCAAACGGATAGGCCGAGTTTTGCACGACAAGGGGAACTCCCCAGTGGATGCATTCCTGGACTGTGTGCTGAGCTTGTCCAGCAAGATTCCTCTGTACTCCCTCATCGTGGGTGAGGTTCAGGGCTGTGGTTCATGACAAGGGTTGCCATTTAAAACTGCGGGTGACCAGCGCTGCAATTCTACTTTGCACGCTCACCCTTGTGTGCAGGCCTGCTCAACGTTGATGACGAGCCATTTGTCAGCACGCTGCTCAAGGAAGTTGGACATCGCCTTGCCCAGTCGCTTGCGAGCGGCGCCGAATCATCCAAGGGTCGGATTCTCCTTCAGTTCCTGGCCTCGCTCTGCAATGTCAATGTCGTGGACACAGGATCCTTCCTGGCATTCATCCTCGAGCAGATGCAGCAAGTGACAAGTGTCGCTGAGCAGAGTGAGTCACACACAATAAGGATCTCATTTGATGTGCAGGATTCCACGCAGAGCTAGCCACCCTCTCCCTGATCCTTACTCTCTGCAGGGAAAGATGACGCTCCAGAGGAGTGGCAGCCGCATCTAGACTCGTTGGTGTACTCGTACCTGGTGGCACTCCCTTTTGTCGAGGAAGGGGCGCCATCCCACTTCGGAGATCAGCTGCAGGTAATGTCCAGGAGTCTGCATATTGATTGAAGGACAGGCCCATGCCCTTGTTGGCAAGGCAACATCATCTGAAACCTGTGCAAGCGAACAGCCACACTCTCTTGACCCTTTGCAGGCAATACTGAGAGTCTGCAGAGACTACCTTGGTCTGAGGAGGCTGCGTGGCAAGAGTCTCCACCCGTTCCTGATGGCATTATCAGAAGAAGATACCATTTCACAGTAAGCGCCACTTCGCAGTATGTTTTGTATGTGGGACCCTCGCTCGACGCACCGCCATCTTTGTGCTTCTACAACATGCATTCTTCTTTATGGTTGGCGGATTTTGCAATACAGGATGGCAGTCCTCGTTGCCAACCACTGCAACAGGTTTGAATGCCCGATTAGACGCAGCAGATCTGACATCTTCACCTCCCATGCATGCACAGGTCCGACATGGGCAGAGCATCCTTCATACCAGATCTTACTGAAGCCCTCGATCAGATCATCAGTCTTGGTGCGTTTGACATCTCGAGCATCCCTAGACTCCATGCAAAGTACGAGATAGATCTGGCGAATGGGAAGATTCGCAGCCTTCCCGACATCGCTGTACCCTTGGATGGAGGAAACAGCCTCCCTCCTGGAGCTTCACCAAGTGTGGTAAGCCGCAGATATGTTATTAAGTGTTGCACCAACCCACCTTGCGTACGGAAATAATATGTGTCAAGTCCCGCTCTAATGTCTACAGAGAGCAGCATTGCAGCTGGAGAAGTACCCTCCGAGACGGACCCTTCAATTGCTGGATAAACAGCACACCGATGGAGAGCGACCCGCCTTGGAAAGGATCATCGTTGAGGACTATGTTCTCGACGTCCTGATAGCTTTTGAGGGAGACAGAATCGAGTGCGCGCGGCGCCTTGTTCAAGGTGATCTTGTAAGAGAGTGCTGTAGGTGCGGTCCAAATCGAGCACGCATCTACTCAACCTGTTTATGTTCGCTGCAGGACTACCCATCACATTCCCTTACGAGCCTCTTCTGTGTCAAGTACTGTTCGGCCAAATGCTGGGCTTGCCTCATTCGAAGTTCCGGCCGGTGATGTACGCCACCCTGATGGTGGATCTCTGCAAACTCTGCAAGACCTTTCCCAGAGCAATGAGTGCCTGTGTACGGTGAGTTTCTCTGAGATTCGGCATGATGTTCTTCAGGGACGAGATTCTACATGCCCACCCTACATTGATTTGAGAGGAACTTCATGAAAACACTCGACCAAATGCAGGGAGTGCTTTGCCCGGATGAATACGATGGATATGAATCTTCGCTTCAGATTGGCAGAATGGCTGGCATATCATTTATCCTGCTTTGAGTACGTCTGGCCGTGGTCCAAGTGGGAGCACGTCCTCACGAAACCAGAGCACGATGGTCAAAGGTACCAGGGACTGGTTTGTTGTGCAGATTCCCTTCTGCTTTTATATTGTGCTGTGTGCCAGCTCATGCATTGCATCCTAATGCAGGCAATTCTGCGGGCTGGTCCTGGACAAGCTGGTCCGGCTGTCGTATTGGGAGAGGATCCACAGTGTGGTGCCGCCTCAGTTCCAGGTCTTGCTGCCACCAAAACCTATTCCGGCAAAAATCGAGTATGAGGAGAACGAACTCGCAGCCGAAATTCTACAGAAGGTAAGGTCGGAATCCTATTTTGCTCTTATTGTCACCAGCAGGCCTTTACAGATACTACACTTCAACGCTTGAATATTGAGATGGAATACCTCAAGATTTCGATAGTACTTCCCACAGGTTCGAGCAAAGACCTCTGCTGAAGATCTGGACGTTTGGTTGGAATCTATCTCTGAAACGAATGAATTGTCGGCCTTTGATCTGTGCAACCTGCTTGTGCGAGTCATCCTGGATGCCGGTTCAAAGTCCTACACACACATGCTCACTCTCTTGGAGCGGTACACTGGCCCTCTGGTTGTCAGGGTGACTGCGCTGGGCAGACAGGTAGCTGATCGACGGGGTGTGGGAGGGGAGCCGAAGCTCATATTTCAAGGAGTACTGTTTAGCACAGGAAACCACTTGTCAATTCCTCACCAACCTTACCTCAGAGCGAGATGAGTCTCATCGATGGAGTGATGGAAGTCTGGAAGGAAGCGCCCCAACGTGTTGTGATGGCTGTGGACCGCCTTATGACGC